CCATGCTGAAAGTGTAGATTCTTCAGTATCTGTCAATTTGCGACAATTTGCAGTTGAATCTTTGCGAGCAGTAGTCCCATTAACGCGTGTCATAAAGGTCCTTGGAGGCACGTCAAAAGCTTTGGCAGCTGCAGTTTTTGATGGAAAAAGACCTTTCTTATAGGCTTCAAGTGCTAATTGCATACGCCCTTCTTTTGATATATCAGCCATGACGCGGTGCGTTGGTAAATCGCGATAAATCCGATGATAGGGGGTGGCCGAGGTGGTGGCCGCGCAGCTCGGTGGTCCGCGCAGCTCGGTGGTGGATTACGTTAGTAACTATGTGATGACTAAGCTAAACTGGAAACACGTGATCGAATGTTGTCTCGGAGAAATGAGAATTTCCCACGTGCTGCAGAAAAGGAGTACTTTTATGCACAATAATTACTTCATTATTCTGCTTTGAATCGTACGAGGTGAAATACCATCCACACGATCGGCCCAAGACTTGGCCAAGTGCTGATACCGCAATCAAAGTGGGTCCCCCACCTTGACGTATTGCCTAAAATGGAGTCTGGCTGTCAACAACTGCATTATTGATTGGGATTCCAAGCTTCAATCTAGCTACGGAGTACCTGGTGATGAGTCCAGGCTTCGTACGATCATATTGATGTACATTTTGAACCGAACCTGTCAGGACTATTCAGACCATTGCTGATTTCCGAGTTTCGGCCGGACGCTTCCTTCGTGAACAGCTTCCCCCGTGTAACGCGTGGACAGCTGCAGATTCTCCTTCTCTGATACCCCTTTTTCTTGGTTCTGGCCATTGGACAGGATCATGACTGCCTATCTCAGACGGCTCTACAAACAATTCCACCCCCCTCCGGATCCAGCAGATGCCTCCTTTGAAGGCAAGACCGTTCTGGTGACGGGTGCCACCTCGGGATTAGGGTTCGAGGCTGCTTTGAAGTTCTTGAAACAGGGTGCTACCACAGTTATCATCGGTAGTCGCAGTCTCGAACGAGGCCAACAGGCAAAGGAAGATCTGGAGCGGCGCGCAAACCGTACCGGGGTGGTGCAGGTATGGCATTTGGATCAAGCTCGCTTTCAAAGTGTTCGGGAGTTTGCAGAGCGGGTAAACAACGAGATCCCCCGGCTCGATATCGCCCTGCTTAACATCGGTCTTCTCCATCGAGAGTACGTGGTGTCGCCCGACGGCTGGGAGGAGACACTCCAGGTGAACGTACTCTCGACAGCGCTACTTGCGCTCTTACTGCTTCCGAAACTCAGGGAGAGCTCGTCGGGTTCTTTCCCTGCGCATCTGACTATTGTTTCGAGCGGAGCACTTGCCCGTGTTCGAGAGAAGGAGCTCCCAGCTGACGGTGGACTTCTGAAGAATTTAAATTCAGAAGGGCGGAATAACCGAGCTCGTTACGGGCCTTCAAAACTCTTGGTCGAATATGTCGCCAGGAATATCGCAGAACTCACGCGGAATCCGGATGGCAGCCTGCAGGTGATCGTCAACACCGCGATCCCCGGTTTCTGTGTCTCATCACTGGGTCGGGAGTATAACCGTTTCTTCGAACGATTGATCATAGGACTGTTCACCGCGCTGCTGGCCCGGACTGCCGAACAAGGAAGCCGGGCCCTGGTCAGTGCTGTTTTGCAAGGAGCAGAGTCTCACGGGAAAAGCTGGGAAGGCGGTGGATATTTCGAGTAAGTGGCGATGGATTATATGGAAAGAGAGTTCCTGCTGATCCTTTCATAGTGAATCCAATTCGCTGCTCGTTGGGCCCACTGGGAAACGATTGCAGAGCACGGTCTGGGCAGAAATAATTGATGTGCTCAAGGCACAGGCCCCAGAAATAGGGGACCTGGTCAAATCCTAAGTCATCAGCGAGCTGTGTTTTGTTAGAAACAGGCGTTTCCATGATGTCGCCTGTACGTCTGCCAATATATATATATATATATAATCTTGGTTTCTTTCCCGGTATTTTCATAAGTCATTCCCTTGTGTAAATAACCCATAATCCTAACCCCCAAAGGGTCAAGACATGAATCAGTGGCAGAAAGAGATGAACTCAAGAAAGCGTCCCATTGTGCTAATATATCTAGGCCTCCTTGGGAAGGAATATCATTAACTTAACGCCAGAGTGTAAGCATATGAAGCACAGCCAAGAACGAAGCAAGACCATCATTTACATCAGCCACAGACCTTGAGTCACTGATCGAATCGGGATCCCCACCCAGGAGCTCCACCAGCAGAGGCATCGAGTTTCAACGTCATGCGAGAGCTATTTTTATCACTGCGCCACAGAGAACTGGCTAGTCGCAGGAGCCTCATGGATGACTGTCATCCATGACCACGGTTGCCGCGGGGGTGGGGCCGCCTCAGGACTTTTCGTAAACCTGCTTGCAATCCGAGTTCTGCAGTCAGCCTCAGCCAGTCTGATCGTAATAGCGCTCGAGTCTCCTGGTGCATCGAAATCCGCGAGCACGCTGCTGGCCCACCGCCTAAATCCTAGCCTGACTGACCGCGGGGTCGTCTAGCAACCAAGTTCCCGATCGACGCAGCCTTAGCGCTGTACAGCGGGTAGCCGCTCTGACTGCAAAGGGCCATTGCGCCCGTCCTCGACCTCCTCCTCCTCCTGGCCTCTGTGACAGTCCATCCGCTGAGCCTTCCCCTCTGCAGAGAAGGCTGTTGATTCTCTTCTGACCATCTTCGCGCAGGGCTGCGTGGAGAGGCTGTCGCAATGGCTTACAACAGCAAATACAACCCGGACGCGCTGCCAGCGTAAGCCCACATCTATCCAAAGAACAGTTTAAGAAGCTGCCATGAATCAAGAGCTGACAGTGATACCACTCGGAATCAGGCATGCAGAACCAGAACAGGTACAGAGCATTCTTGTCCTCACCTCCCTTTGCCTGCTGCTATACGTCGTTGCGCCCCACTTCGCTTCATACCTTACTCAACAGCTAAACGCAATGGATACAGGTTGCCCAGATGCTAGGGGCTCTGCAGATGCAGCAACAGTCTCATTCGCATCAAGGGTCACATCAGCATCAAGGATCACATCAAGGACAGCACCAAGAACGACCGCCGCCGCCGCCGAAGACAAGCGGAGCACCTCCTCGCCGGCCCTCCCCATCAGCCTCTCACCCACCCTCCAGCGCGCCGACTCACGGCCAAGCACCACCCCAGCACGGCAACCGTAATCATTCTGCCAGTGTGTCCGGTTCGCAGAGCCAGCAGTACCGATTTCATTCTCCTCCCCCTCAGAACTACGGGTATGGTCCTCGTCCGACTCAGGCGGCGCAGAACCGCCCACCTCCGCAGTCGCATCCGTACCACCACCATCCTCCGCCTGCTCCTAGCCCTGATGACCCGCAGCAGCTCTATCCCCTCTTTCGCGCGGCCAACGTGTCCAATACTGGAGCGCTCACGGAGTCGGAGCTGGGCTCAGCCCTGGTGAACGGAGACTACAGTGCATTCGACCCCAACACGGTCAAGATGATGGTCCGGATGTTTGATCGGAACGGCGATGGTACGATCACCTTTGACGAGTTCGTGTCTCTGTGGCGCTACCTCGCAGCGTGGAGGGAACTTTTCGACCGGTTCGACGAAGACCGCAGCGGACGGATCAGTCTGGATGAATTCGAAAAGGCCCTTGTCGCGTTCGGGTATCGTCTCAGTCGGACATTTGTGCGGGTCCTGTTTGCGACATTTGAAAGCAAAGGACGACGCCGGGCGTCTCATGGCGGACCTTTTTCAGCCAAAGGAGGGATGAGCTTCGATCTGTTCGTGCAGGCATGTATCAGTCTGAAGCGCATGACCGACGTGTTCAAACGGTATGACGATGATCGTGACGGTTACATCACTGTGAGTTTTGAGGAATTTTTGACGGGTAAGTTGGACTTTCTATTTTATGTGAGACTCAGACGAGCTGACCTGGGGTTGGTTTTGACAGAGATCCTTCAATTGCAAGAGTAGACATGTACATGCACCTTTGTTGTTTTATACCATTGACGAAGCATACACATACGTATCTTTTTTTTCTTCTTTACTCTCTTCGATGCAGGCCATCATTTCTGTGCCATCCTACATACTTAATGAGCCATTAGTGCCGTAATTGTAGCTGATTATATGATCCAGGCCCAGCATGTTGCGCGCATGCTGAGAGCCGTGTAGTACTAGTAATCCATTAGAGTTTTAAAATTGAATGTACATTACTATACCCACGAAACGTCGCCGCCTTCCCCTTCGTCATTTGGCTAAGACCATAATGGAAGCTTTCAATGCATTAGCACCATAAAAGAATAGGAATCAAGCATTGTTGGGATCTCACATAGGTACTTACCTAGAAGCCTAATCTCCCGTTTACCACACACGGAAACCAACCAACCCGGTTATCATAACTGCTACGATTCGCGAGGTAGACACATCACCAGAAGTAGACGAAGCAAGATGAGCAAAATGGGAAGTAGTAGGACAGGTCATTTACTAGAGGCGTAGATACTTCAGAAGTGTCTTTTGTATCCCCAAGAGCCTGTAAAACAAGTACTTAGGAATACTGGTGTCTGATGAGAGACTTAACTATCCTTGGATTGAAACTAAATGGCACGGACTGGTGAGACAGGCAATCCGGAACCTGAAGAAGCTACATGTATCTCCTGCACAAATATCTTGGTAGCCATGAATACCTATGTACATATTCTACGTGAGGAAATTGGATAGGCAAATAAGCGAGAAGCAGGCCAATTCGATTCAATTCGATTCTACCATAAGCTTCTGCTTGATAGGTTAGAAGAGCGAGCACACAAGGCTCTGCAAACTTTGTAAATAAATTAAGCTATGTTGGGAGTCTTAGCTAGGGATATGTAGCTTCAGCTAAAGGCTAGTGACTATGCTGGATGCCATGGCAAACAAATGTACTCCGTATATGATCCGGCAATCAGGGTTGGGGAGTATGGCGGTGAAGGAAGTATAGAAAAAACTCAGGCTGTGACTGGACGGATATAAGTCAAAGTATCGATGAATTAAGTATGACAGATCGAATAATATGCGCAGAATGCAGATTGCCGCGTGGTCAGATCCGACGTGCATGCATCTGTGACGCGACGCGGCATGCGATGAGTCGATGACTCAAAATAGCATCTAGATTTGCAGCAGAGCAGCAGATCGTTTCACACTTGACTCTATGATTCATCATCTGGCGCCGCCTAGGTAAGTTGGAACTACCTCCATCCTAGCCTAGCTAGGATTCTCCATGCAGAGCTTAATAATCTCCGACACGTGCTCAGCACCCCTGTCGTCGGAGATAGGAGGGTGAGTCAGCAGGCGGTGACTGGCTGCTGCCTGTCGGCGCTTCGACATGCCGAACGGCCGACACTCCCCACTCCGGCGCCGCAAACAGCCAGTCAGCCAGCGATCCCTGCCCGCCATGCGCCCGGAAGAATTCCGCCAGCAAAATAAGAAAGAATCCGTGCATCCGGCTACAGAAGACGACGAGAAAGGAAGGTAGCTGGCTGATGTATACTCTCCGTCAAGGCGGGGAACTCCATACGAAGGACCAAGTCAGAATGACGAGTCACTCTCCCCACCAACCTTGAGCGCAGGCAGATTGCAAGTTAGATAGTCTCACACTGAGAGCAGATTCTTCCCCGTAATTTTTTAGTTATTGGATTCTCCCGGACTGATGGCTACGAGTGCCGGCAAACGGCCGTGCTGGTGTCACTGCCGCTTTCGGCAAGAGAATGAATGCCTGTGCCTTCCCGGGATTCAACATGATGACCAGCTAAAGATCTCGACCAATGACCGCCGTCGCAGCGAGCACTTAAGCGACGATCTCTCCGATCTAGTTGAAAGCGAAGAAAAGGACGGAGGACTGGCTGAGAACATCGTCTCCCGCGAGCTCGGCTCCAGGCTTAATTCCGGCTGTTCTCTATTAACTCCTTCGAAGCTTGCCGTCGGCAGCTGCAGCTGGCCGTTGGCTGGGACCAGATTCACCCATCTCCGTCTCCACCGGCCGCATCGGGACCCACGATGCCCGCTGCAGAAGCAAGCTAACCAGGCAGATAGACTCCTTCAGGTACTTATCTCCAGTCTCCACATCTTTTTTTCTCTCCTGGTCTCCGCATCTCTTGAATCGATCCTGAGCTGCTGACCGTTCTGCGGTTCCTCATAAATCTTCACCTTCTTTCTTCACATCAGTCACCAGCTCGGATCCGTCTCAAGAGCTGCCCCTCGCGAGCGGATATTCCACATACGGGTCATAGCGACGCAATTGTCCCAACTGTCTGAACTGTCGATAGACACAGGAACTGTTGTCAGTTCATGTCATGGGAAGTCGCTGACAATCCACAACGATCCCCGTGTGTGCGCCAGTGCCGCTAGCCTTCATCGGCCACGAGTCTATCGCCTCGTCTGTCTCACGCCTCAGGATTCGGCCAGTAACTCTTCCAGGCAACAGAGGCCATCATGGCAGAACCCAACGGCGATTCCAACGCTTCTATGAGCAACTCCGTCACCGATGTTGAGAAAACTCGACCAGGCTCAGAGTCCACGTTGACTCCTCGTGACAAGTCCGCCAAGAAAGAGACCATGGTGTCTGATGAGGACGCGCAAAAGCCCCCGCAAGAACCGTCCGTTCATTCTGTGCACACTCCCAACGAGAATTCCGATGATGCTGTCCCCAATGGAAGCGATACCAAGTCTCCCGATACCGATGGTGCTGCACCAGGAGGAGACTCGACAGCCGTACCGGCCGGCCGTGTCCCGCCTCAGACTCCTTCTCAGGCGCAGAAGCTGGGCAAGAGCAAGATTATCATCATCATGGTCGCGTTATGCGTATGTGGCCTGTCCATCTCTGTCTTGTCAATGAGAAATGATCAGTATTTGACTGACAATGCTGTCCATATAGATGCCCCTCTTCCTAGCCGCTCTCGATATGGTAGGTTTTTGCCTCTCTCGATCTCTGATAAACCAGGCGTCGTCTCTTTTGAAACTAATGAATCGCCATAGACTATCGTTTCCACGGCATTGCCCGTCATGGCAGCCCATTTCAAAGCCACCCAGAGTGGCTACTCCTGGATGGCCTCGTCCTATCTGCTCGCCAACGCAGCCTGTATCCCCCTATGGGGTAAGATCAGCGATATCTGGGGAAGAAAGCCGATTCTCCTCCTAGCCAACTTCATCTTTCTTGTAGGAAGTTTGATCTGCGCGCTGGCCATCAACATACCCATGATTCTGGCCGGCAGAGCTATCCAGGGTGCAGGAGGTGGTGGAATCATTATTCTGGCAAATATTTGCGTCACGGATTTGTTCAGCGTGAGGTACGATTTCGTCGATACGTGTGATACCCCAAATCCAATTACTCACGAGTCTGCAGGGAACGACCAATGTACTACGCTATCTTTGGTGCAACCTGGGCCGTTGCGGGAGCTCTGGGCCCCATCATTGGTGGTGCGTTTACCACCAGGGTTACCTGGAGATGGTGCTTTTACCTCAATCGTATGTCACCTTTCTCTTCGTCCATCCATTTCTTCATCGACCCAAACTTAAATAGACTTACTCTGAAATAGTACCTGTCGGCGGTGTGTCATTTGTGATTCTGCTCATCTTCCTCTCCGTTGAAACCCCCAAGACCCCCCTCTTGGCCGGTCTCCGTGCTATCGACTGGCTTGGGACCATCACCATCATTGGCGCGACTCTGATGTTCCTGTTTGGACTGGAGTTCGGCGGTATCTCGTACCCCTGGGATTCGGCCACGGTGATTTGCTTGATCGTCTTTGGACCGGTGGTTATGGTGATTTTTGCTCTCATCGAATGGAAGGTGGCCAAGTACCCAGTCATGCCCATGCGACTCTTCCGCGATTGGCACAATGTCGTGATCTTTGGTGTGTGCTTTTGCCACGCCTTCGTGTTCATTTCTGGGGCTTACTTCCTGCCGTTGTATTTCCAAACGGTCTTACTGGCCACTCCTATTCTGAGCGGGGTGTACACGCTGCCGCAGGTCTTATCACTTTCGGCCATCTCCGCTACCATAGGCATCATCATCCGCAAGACCGGCAGGTACAAGGAAGCGATAACTTTCGGTTTGCTCCTCATGACGCTCGGGTTCGGTCTCCTAATCGACTTGAAGCCCTACGCATCCTGGCCGCGCATCATCATCTACCAGCTCATTGCGGGATCCGGCGTCGGGCCCAATTTCCAGGCTCCCCTGGTGGCTCTCCAAGCCAATACCCATCCGTCCGACATGGCCACTGCCACGGCGACCTTCGGATTTGTTCGACAACTGGCCAGTTCCATGTCTGTCGTGCTGGGCGGGGTTGTGTACCAGAACGTCTTCGCCAAGGAGATCCCCAAACTGACTGCCATCGTCGGTCCCGAAACCGCCGCAACGCTGGCCAGCTCCTTCTCTGGGTCTGACAAGGACCTCCTCAAAACCCTGCCGCCAAACCAGCGTGAGGCGGTAGCGGCAGCGTTCACGAAGGCTCTTAGTCGCGCCTGGATTTTCTACTGTGCCGTTGCCGGGTTCGGTCTCCTTATGAGCCTGTTCATCAAGCGTAAGGAGCTGAGCTGGTCGCACCAGGTCGCCAAGACCGGTCTGGAGGCTCAGGAGCGTGCTCGCCAGGAGATGATAGCCGAGAAGAAGGCTCGCAAGGAGTCGTCCGCTGAGCAGCCATCAGAGAAGGTCTAATCTAATTCTCTTCTCTTAACAATTGCAACAACTCGACAAAAAGAACTACAAAAAAAGACAACACCCCATTCACACCATTTCCGAAAGACTCTCTTTCACGATTTCTGCATCAGGGGATAGAGGATAGAGGTTTGGGAGAAAAGTTTGTTTTTTTCCCCCTTTCTTTTCCTCTCTCACGCTTGCCGGCGATATTTTACGACCTGCATGCACATATGTATGTGTTTATGATGTACCTTTTTTTTTTAATTTCTTTTCTTTGTATTTTTTTGCCCCCTACTTTTCAAGTTTAACCCCCACGAAGTGGATCTCATCTCCTTTTCATGTGGACTACTTGCTTGCTTGCTTACAAAAAAAAAGAACTTCTTAAAAACTTAACAGGGCGTTTTTAATGAATGGTGGGGAATTGATAGATGGGTGGGTGGATGGATGGATGGGATCTTCTGGACGGATGGATGATGGCATTGCATTTATTTGCATTGCATTTCATTAGATGAGCAGACCATATCAATCAGACTACGCCAGACGAGACCAGACCAGACCAGACCAGACCAGATAAAACAGATAGCTGAAAGAGAGACAGAGAAGGAGAAAGCAGAAATAGATAATTAATGATTGATTGATAATTTCATAAATTCGTAATGCCTTATTAATTAATGGGTTACAGCTACATTGTAGGATGCAACTTTTGTAAATTTTTTTCTTTTTATTTCTTACTACTTCTTGCTAAAGCTCGGAAGAAATAAACAAAGAAAAAGAGAAGAGGAAGACGAAGAAGAAAATAAGCCTATACAGCTAGCTAGCAAGGAACAAGAGAAGAGGCCTACGTCCTAATTTAATTTGAAAAAATAGTAATAGTGAAAAAAAAATAATAATAGTAATACTAGTAAAAGAAAAAAAAAGTCCTCCCCTATCCTTTCTTCATGGTCGTGGTTGGTATTTGTTTGGTAAATAGAGCCGCCCCCCGTTCCACTGCCACTACCACCACCACCACCACCACCATCAACACCGCCCATTCGTATATAACAGATCGTGCGTGTCATTATCATCGAAAAAAAAAAAGGTCCGCGAGGAAGCGCAAAGGCGTTGTTGGTCATGGTAGTTGAGCAGTGAGATAGAAGAGGAAGATGAAAAAGGATTAAGCTTAAAAAAAAGGAAATACCATAGCATAGATCATCCAGCGAGATAGGTAAGAGATCAATCAGGAAGAGGCGCAAACGGAGTGGGGAATAAAGAAAAAAAAAAGACTGGAGATGGGTATAAAAAGGGAATCCTTCAATGGCACGACTTGCTATGGATTGCTCCCAGTCTCTTAAATAGAAGAAATATCACATCACAAGTTTCTTTTCTCCTCACTAGAGTCAACATCAAACGAATATGGGGTATAACGAAGTGGGAAACTAGTAAACTACGCAACGAATAGGGTAGTCAAATGTGGTATGTTATAATAAGAGGGGTGTTGGAATAACAGCAATAGAATAGCGCACCGATGATGGGAATCAAAATCATAGCAATTCTGTGCCATCAGCACAGAACCAACCAACGAAGAAAAAAAAATCGGAGGTACCCATCATCCACCCAAACGCCGACTCGTCTCACAAGACCATCATAAGATAGGAGGATATATATAATCGAAGATAATCCAAAATCAGAAGCAAATCATGTCTTCAATTTCTTCCCTGGCGCCTCCGATGTAACACCACCTTCAGGGCTCTTGCGCTTCTTGTCCATCTCATCTTCCCTCCCGAAGCCAGGACCGGTCTGTACAGAGGGAGTGGGGAAGGTCAGCGGACTGGGCAACATATTGGTGTCTGGTCCGGATCGCCCAAACCCCCATTCGGGGAAGAAGCTAGACGGAGACGGGAGGAGCGCGTCTGACACAAATCGACTGGGGAGGGCCGAGATCGGCGTGTCCATATTGTTGCTGCTGCTGCCGTAACCAGTGCCATTTTGGGAACTCGTTGCAGGCGGAGGCGGTCGTGCAAACGGATTGGGCGGGCCCTGCGCACCTGCGCTTAAAAGGGCACCTGCTGACGGCGATGGGGGAGGGAGAACAACGCCAGTGTGGTTACCATCCGACGCAACTTTAGCAGGCGTAGCTGTTTTGTGACCTGCAGAGTCGCGCGGGGACGACTCTGCCGTCGCACTCCCCGCGTCCGACTGCTCGCTCGGAATTTGGACCTTGAGACGGGGTCGTTTGGCATTGGCTTGGACGCTATTGGCTCGTGGCGGAGGCGGGATCTCAGGCATTGAAGAAGTGGGTTGCGCGGGTTGGGGATCCGTTGCCGACCGTGCCGGCTGCGGGGGCATCGTTGATGTCCCAGTCGACGGGATTGGAACACTCTGGCTGGCGCTGCTGGCTGGTGGTGGCTGCTCCTGCTTCGCGGGCGTCTCGCGCTGAGGGGACTCGCGCAAAGAAGAAGACCCAACTCCAAAGTGACGCGCTAACACCGACCCTTGGTCATCAATGGGCGTAAAGATACTGCGCGTCTTAGGCGCCAGGGGCCTAGGAGACTGGCTCCCTTCGGACTTAATTTGATTGGGGATCTGCTGCGAAGCGGTTGGATCGGGAAGGGCAATAGGACGTTGTTGCAGCGGCGGCGGCACTTGCTGTTGCTGTTGCTGTTGTTGCTGCTGTGGTGGTTGCTGCGGTTGTTGCGGCTGCTGTTGCTGCTGCTGTTCCGGCGGGAATGCTGGTGGCATCGAATGCCGTCCCTGATCTTGCATATATGACGGCGCGATTTGCGGCATCTGCTGGTGTGGCGGCTGCGGGAGATTATGGTGAGGCGCTTGCTGGGGAAGGTGATGGGGAGGAGGCGGTTGATGATGTTGCGGGATGGGCTGCGCAGGATGAGGCTGGGGCGTCTGGTGCTGCGGACCGGGATGGGGAGGTTGGCCAAACGGTGGATATTGGGCGGGACGTGGAGGTTGCTGATTCAGATTCGGGTTCGCGTTGGGATTGTAAATGGACGGGTTGGGCATGTAGGCAAATCCGTTCTGTCCCGGAGGAGGAGGAGGGGTGGCATGTTGAGGATGCGGATGGCCAACCAGGTTCGAACTCACGCGACGGACGTGATTCCGCGACGAGGGACGGGACATCACCTGGGACTGAGGAGTACCATGACGAGGATCGAAGCCAACCCCATTGTGGATGGGTGGTGAGGCCGACGGTGCGTGGTTGATATGTTGGAAAGCTGGTTGATGTTGATTCTGGAGATGCGGCGGCACCATCCCCTGGGGCTGGGGCTGAGGCTGGGGTTGAGGTTGAGGTTGAGGTTGAGGCTGGGACTGGGACTGGGACTGGGACTGAGAAGGAGCCGAGTCCTCAGCGCCCGATGCATCGTCGTCATCGTCATCATCCGCCGTGCTTTTTCCCGCAAAATCGGCAGGGCCTTTGTGTTCATGAGGAGGCCCCCACTGCAATCAGTAGAAATATCCATTGTCAATACCGATCAGGCCTTCCCAAGTCGCACAAACAACGGGGAGTGAACAGGAGTGGGGGAACGCACATATTGGTATTTACCCAGAGTCTCACGAATGTCACCTGAAGAAAACTCGTAGAGTTTCTTGTTATGGCCGAAGATGATCACTGCCACGTCGACGGAACAGAGCACGGAGAGTTCATGAGCCTTCTTGAAAAGACCGCCTTTCCGCTTCAGAAAGGTCCTTGAAACAGAGTCAGCCATATCTTCCTGTGTCTCCAAGGCCGTGAGGCCATGGCAGATGGCAAAGGGAACCTACACTGAGCGATTGCGGTCATCTTTGATCGCTTTTATCTCGATTTTGCGTCGACCCATCGTGATGGGAGAGACGCGGGAGAACCAGATCGGATGATGGGTAGTAAGGACCCGGAGACTGCGACAGCAAACGAAGAAGCCGTTGCGATGACACCACGAAAATTAGATCCCTCTCCGGGGATGTGTATCTCTCTCCTTGTCTTTCCCTTGATGTCTGGAATGGTGGGTGTGACGCGGGTGATGGGCGACAAGAGGGAGGGGTTCGCAAAAACGCGACAAAGAAACGACCCGGACTCAGTCCTTCACGGCACCGGCGGCCCACGAAAGGCGGAGGGACGGACGGGTGGAAGGCACCGCAGCAAGCGAGGTGCCGAAACCCTCTGACGCGGGAGAAGGATCCTCTTTCGGGACTGCGGCGACGAGGACGAGGATCAGATATATGTGCGGGAGCAGGATGCGCGGAGGAACAGGTGCAAGGCGAGCGAAACTTCGCTGGCGGGCTGGCAGTAAGGCAACGAGGGTAGGAAGGATTCTAAAGATAGAAAGGAAAGAAACGGTGGGAGGTGGAGGATGTTCGGGGGGTTAGCCGTCCGGCCTAGAAGAGGCTTCCTTTGTGGCAGCCTGAGGGCAGCCTGGGGTGTCGACGGCCTGCACGTCCTATTGCCCGTTAACCGCCGCCGGGCCTCCTACTCGCCCGAGCCCGTCGGCCGGGCGGCTGAGCGTGCCGGGCCCTGATTGGCTGCGCCGGCGTCCTGAAACACGCGGCGCAACACCAGAGGCCCGCCGAAAGCGGCTAAACCGCAACAGGAAGGGCTCGCGGCTAAGCGACAAAAGAGGCACATTTAGCTGCTATTTATATCCTGCAGAGGAAAACACGGCAGAAAAGCCGCTAATTATGCTGCAGAGGCATGCCAGTGTGCCAGTGTTTAGTTTGTGTTGCCTCATCTGCATCTACAGGGAAAAGAGTGTTAGACAAGGTATCATGGTTATGAGTAATGTTGGTACCATGAAGCTTATCCGGAAAAGAGGAATGCATGGCCTCACGAGCCGTACTGGCCCGTCTGGCGAAGTCCTTCGACCTTGCAGCTGAATTGTGCACACTGTACCAGTACGAAGTAGTTAATTCTGATATCCCAATCCGCCAAGTCCTGTGGGACTCGAGATGCGAGGTACTGGCGCTATGTCATATATGTCTATGCGGCTCTGCGATCCGTACTGTGCTCTCCACACCGATATGACCTGTCCGTTGACCCAAGAGCGACTAAGTTCTAACCCCATCCTCAGGGTCCTTAAGTATCGTTGTACATAGAAGTATCGCGCTGAGAGGCGACATATTTGATGATACTGCCGTGACAAAGTTGTCAACACAGACTTCACTGTTGCATCAGTGTGGCTGACGTTGATTGATGCCTTGACGGAGACTTCGCATCTACCTCTATAGCCGTAAGTCCAGGGAAAGGACACTTAAAAAAGGCGTCAGTTGATGCTGCTTTCCGCGTCGTCCAATGTGCATGAAGCAAAGCGTGACTAGCACCTCCTGAGAAATGAGGAAATATGTTACATACATTTGTTTCAAAAAAAAAAACACAAAAAAAAAACAACAGAGCCAGAAAGCCACGTCTCTTTGTTTTCTCTTGTCTATTACTATTGTCTTTGTACGTACATACGTCCACACACATGTCTATCTCTCTGGACTGGAGCATGGATGAGAAGTTCCTATAGAACTCTTTTCCAATCCTCCTTCCCCCTATCTGTCTGAAAAGCCTGCGGCAAGGCCATTTCAATAAGCAAATATGAGCAACTCTTGATTATGATTCTTTCCGAGAAATACCATACACTAGGATATTGATCGCTGGGATATGGTAGCAAAGGAAGGCTTCCAAAGGGTCAGTATGTCTACCTGGAACAGAGTTTTAACTCAGAATAATAATGATGATGGCATTTTCCATCTGGAGTTGGGTCACGGGGTCCCGCTAAACTGGATAAAGCATTCCCCGACTTATACGGTATACCTAGGTGCTGTTGTGAGTAATCCTAAGACAAGGGAGCAAAGAGGTTGAAGGCCTTCTGAATTCTTCTTTCTGGTTAAGATCTTTGCACTCTCCGGGATTAATATTGTTTTACCTTCCTCTCCGTCAGGTTGGAGAGCTCCTTGTCCAGCATCGACTTTGTACTCCGTCCAAACTACTCCAGACTCCGTACTCCCTCGATCTGGCAGCCCTGGTGGAGCACGGAGCAGGCGTTCCCAGCGTTCGGATCGTCTAAACCTTGTCCCACCGTTCCCCCTTCTTAATTTCCGCCCTGCTTCGAGAAGACTGCCCAGTCGGTGTCCATGCGTTGGCTATTCCATACCGAGTACTCTGTCCCTTTATGAACGCGCCGTGGGAGATGGTCTCCAGCAATGAATGAATTTTCTGAGGCACGGTGGAAGAGCTCTCCGCAAGCAGCTGGGCGGCCAGGAGTCGTGACGAGGGCTCAAGCCGCGCGTGATGGTCCGCCGCTAGCACCGGCCTGGGCTAGCCGCTTTGGGCAGCACGGCCACAGCTCAATCAACGTGTCAAGCGCCGCGACGCGCTCTGCTTGGGGGTCTCTGATCGTCTTTTCCTTCTGCTGGCTGTCTCTGGCCCTGCATTATTATTGGCTGGCAGTCGTGTTCCCACGCAGATGAAAATTACCTGGCAATAAGTCAGCTGGATGCATCCATCTCATCGGTACTTCTACAGAAAAAAAAAACCGGCAAGCTTCATCCTCCTTGCATTGGGAGCGCGCGGCAGCAACCTATTGCCGTGCGCCGGCCGCGGACCTTCCTGGTCAGCGACGTCCAAACTGGGTGCAAACTCCCCAGGTTTAGGTACTGGTCCGTGGGCTTGCAGGATCCCTCGATCGCAGTCGGCAGCAAAGTCGCACCCCGGCCTCGAGTCACGCTCGTTATCAGGGTCGGCCTGGCCGCTGGGATCTGCCGTGGCGGATTCGCCAGTTCGCTGTGGCTCGAACCGTCCCCGGCCCAACCAACTAACCAACAGTAGCTCTAGTTAGGTTGTGTAGGCAAAGCAAAAGCACCGCTGGCCCAGCGTCAAAACGCGCCTTAACCCCTGAGCCCAAAGTCCCGACAGAAAAGCTTAAGGAGAAAAAAAGCACCGAGTGCCTTGGCTATCCAAACACCTCTCTTACGTTCGTCGTCCCTTCGATTCTTCTGTCCTCGAAAAGGATCTTTTTTTTCTTTTCTTCTTTCTTATTTTCTTTTCTCCAGGTTGTGCACCCTTCTGGGTGGCGTCCTTCGTTTTGTGATTTGGATGATTCTTTGATGCCCCTCTGTTCTACAGTCCAGCTATTCATCTCCACACAGGCCTTTCTTTCCCACTGTTGTCGCAGTCGCATGTTGACTCTCATTCACACGCTCTCTTTTCAGTCCCTGAAGACGACATCGTTGTGAAGGAGCTGTAGTTGCTTCACCTGTTGCGTTCGTGCCGTCGACCCCTCCGCCGCGATTCGTTGCAAATGCCCCTTCTCCTCATCGTAACCCTGCCACGGCCTTGTTCTCTGTTCGTATCGACAAAATAGCTGCAAGCTTTTTGCTGTATTAGTTGCCTTACCCCAGAATGTCGTTCTTGTCTCGAGTTTTCCGGAGCAAAGACTCCAATGCCGCCAAGAAGCAGGCCAAGCAGAATGCCCCTGAAGACACGGCTCCTCCGAAACCCCAATGGACCGACCCCTACTTGCGCACGGAGGTGTCTCCGGAGGAGGTGCAGGAGTTGCTCAGAGGATGTACACAGGAGTTGAAGTCACGAGGTTTGTCCCCGTCTCCTTTTTTTTTTCCTTCTATGGTAAGATCACGGCTGACGGGTGACGCTGGAAATCTAGGTCTTGATATACCCTTCCTCCTCCTTCCTTTTCGTCCCAGCTCGGATCCCAGTGCGGCGCGAACGTTCATTCGTAACTTCTTCAATGCGGAACAAAAAGGATCCCCGCTTCGCGGAGAGGCTCTGTCACAGGAGCTGCGCTTGTCGGAGCCAATGGTGGGACCTATGAAGACCTCTCCCAATGCGACTAATGGACTGACCCGGTTGCGATGGTTAGGTTCTATGTAGCGTTATGAAATGGTGCTGGAGCAGACTCCCTGGAGGAGTGGTCACCTGGGAGGCCTACGAACTGTTCAAAGTTGGGGAACAAGGTACCGTCTCGTCCTGCGCATACATTGATGCTCGGATCATGACGCTAATGGAATGAAGACTCGAACTTTGCCCGCGATGCTTTTACCACATTTATTCCCATTAGCGTCGAGTCTGATGCGCGAACCAAGATCATCTTCGATTTCTTTGACCTTCTTGCAGCCATAGCCGCCCATGGCAAATCCAATGGGCTTGGCGGAAGAAAGCTTTCGAGATATGCAGGATGGTGGGCATTCGAACATACGGACACGGGCAATGGTTTTGAAGCGGCCTACAAGAACTGGACCACGTGAGTGTCTTATCTATTCTTACCGCCCTCAGCAGCTGACGAGGCGCGCTGACTGTTGCTTCAGTGCCGCGGACGCGACAAGCCATCTTTTCTTTGCATACCTGCGCTCTTCGTCTCCAGACTCGATTCGCGGCATCAACGGGATTTCTGCGCTCCCCATCGCCCTGCAGTCGCTTGTCCAAGCCACCGAATACCCGCCCCAAACCCCGACCCTTCTCCAAGTGTCGACGACCAAGGTCGTGATGATCGTGGACACTGTCTCTCCTACGCCCTTTGCCTTGCTGCGTCGTGCAAAGAACTTCGAATACAGAGACAGCGATCGTCATCTACAGGAATTCGCCAACTACGATGACCCTGCCGATGCGCTGACGGACGAATGCCAGCGGGTGCTCAAAGCCATCTCCAGCACCAACCAGTCATCGGTTTCCTCGTCGAAAACATCGACTAGCCTGCGGGATGCGTCATGGTCTCGTTTCGAGGATGTGGGATTCGGCGCCTCCATCGACTCCGATCATGACGATGACTTGGAAGGTTCCAAGACGAACGGCCTTTTGGAGCTGAGATCCACTCCTCTTTCTCGCTCTCCTGACCTGGGCCGTCCGACCACTCCTTCCTGGGCCGACTTCCTGTCCACGGGCTTCACTGACGAAAACCCCATCAAGAGTCCGGCTCCCCTCTTGCTTCCTCCCGATAAGGTCTTGCCTCCGATCGCGTCGGTTCGAGGCCAGAGCTCGCAGTCGCATAAGCGAACCCTTGACACAGAATCGAATCTTGACCCGGGTGAGCTTGCCAGCATAACCACGCTCGACCTGGATGATTCGTTCTGGTGGGTTTGGATTACCAGTTTGTCAGCGGAGGAACCCGCCTCTCGTAAAGCGGTCTTTGGACGGTGCACGTTACTCGAGACAACCATCGCAGGCGCGAAATGGCTGATTCTCGAGGAGCAGGTGAAGGGCGCTGCTCCGGAGCCTGACCCGGGCGCTTATATTGCTGAGAAGAAGAGGTTCTTTGGATTCTCGACGCGCCGGAGACTTACTCGCCGAAAGTCGTCCGGAAAGAAGTCGGTTCCTCAGGAAACGTATAAACCGAAAAATTCAGCTGGCCAAGGCAGCAAGACCAGCATTGGTCCCGACCAGCATGCACGGATCCAGGCCGCTGCAGCGGCGCTGCAGAAGAAGCATCGAGAGCAGGAGGAGCAACGGCAAAAGGAGGCTGCCAGCGAACGTCAATCCCGGACTGAAGATCCAGATTCCAAGACCAACTCGGTGATGACGATGCAGCCGAACATCCTCAGTGAGGCATCTCAGGCCATGAAATGGGCAAGCAATTACGACAAGGACGCGGTTCGATCGGCCTATCTCAGCGACAGTCGTGCTGGCACTGGCGCCCCGGTCGAGACACTGAATCTACCGACGAACGGCCAGCTGCGATCCATGACCTCTGTTTCCGAGGCTCCGTCCACCCAACCAGACGCCCGCTCCCTCAACGCCACCGCAGACAGAGACACAGGCAGCAACACCGCCAGTTCCTCCAAAGGATTCTCCAAAGCCTGCTAATGATGGTGCTGCTGACGCACCTGTCGCAAGTGCTGAACCCGCAGCACCGCAAAACAACGCTTCGGAACGTGCAGAGACCCCAGAAATTGAACCCAAGAAGTCGGTTGACTCCGAGGACAGCAAGAAGCTGAAGAATAAGCCTGTTAATACTAGTATCAAGAGCATGTTCAGCACCATCAAGAAGAAGAGCGATATCCCCTTGAAGCCGACTGGAGCAGATCCATCTGCGGTTGCTGCTGCACGTGCTGCTCTTGAGAGCAAGGTCAAGTCTCAAGACACTCTGCCTCCGCCTAAGGCCCCCATCGCGCATCGTCTGTCTGGCATCAGGAAGAAGCCCGCGCCAGAGACGCCGGCTTCTACCGTCGAAGAGTCGAAACCAGCCTCAGCGGCTCTATCCCAGAACGTGGAGCCATCGGCCTCTGAGCCTGAACACCCTGCTCAGCAAGCACCTGGCTCGCCGGCGTACAGCGGACCACCACGGACTCGACGTGATGCAGAGTATGATGCTCTTTCTAGAATCGACACCAACGAGAAAGCCATGGCCGATCGTGAGTTCTCTTCCTTCGACCAAGGTCCTCTGGCGGACCAGCCTGCTTTTGTCCCGGCCGATTCGCCTGTCTCGCCGGTCTCCCCCGTCTCGAGCAAGATCACGGAACAGCCGGCGGGCCGTGATATCGAGACGCCGACTAACCCCCCTGCCAAAACGGAGCTAAGCTCCATGTCGCCGCATGACCGCTGGGCGCAAATTCGTAAGACCGCTGCGGAACGAGCTGCTGCTTTCGATGAGGCGCCCAGCCGAACCAGCCAGGCGGAAAGGACGGACGATGGTGACACCAGTGGAGAAGAGAGTAAGTGATAGCACTTGCCATTCCAACATGGTGAACATGGACCCAGACTGACAAATCATCTTAGCAATCGAATCGCGTGTCGCTCGCATCAAGGCTCGTGTCGCCGAGCTGACTGGAAACATGGAGGCCGCCCGATGAGGAAGGCAATAGAGATTTGGACCCGTTAGCTTGTGGCTTAGTGACTCGTAACGAGTTGGCAGATGAAACGGGATAGCAACACTCGTCCTCGACTTTTGTCCAAATCTTCTTTGCTGTTTGTTATCCTTTCGGATATTGCTGGTCCTTTCTCGCTTTCTGTACCAATTCCCCCTCAGTTGGTTGTGAATTTTTTTTCTCTTTCTTTGATCTGTCTTCAGACACCAGTTATTTTTCTGCCTCTTGATTGCCATTTTCACATACCCTTCATCGATCAAAGTAGTCTGTCCATTTCACTGCCTTCTGACACACCGTCTCTCTTATGTCCTTGAATTATCAACCACCTTTTATGTTTATCAACATTGTTATCGGACTCAGATAATCTTCTAGCGGACAAACCCATCGATAGCTGTCACTCTCTTCCATTCAACTCAACTTAGCTGTTTCGCTCTATATTGAACTATCTTATCTCCAAACGCCCTTTTATGTACCCTGTATGCTACTACTTTTCAGCAAGCGTGCTACAAGAAAGATGAACTTTGCTAAAGATTGAAATACGATATAATAGTAATGAAATAAATAAAACAAGCCAAGTCCCCATACGGGAGTTGCCTGTTAGAGAATTAATGGCAGTTTGCCGCCTTTGTTGCTTGGACAGTATGTACACGCATCCCATTGACCAATCACAAGCCAGGATGCGAGGACCAAGCTCAGACCGCAAGCTCGGGCGGAGCTCCAGCATTCCAGTTTCCCACTGGGCATCTGCATAGAGCTTCACAAGAGAGCTTCCATTATTGATCGACTGTTATAGCATCAGCGTTGTTCTTTCTCCATCGTCATTGAGAAAATCATAACCCTTTTGATTGATTGTCTAACCCATTTCGAACCTTCCCTTTTTTTTTTAACTCCCGTCGCAAACAAACAAACATCATCATGGCAAGCCGCAGGCCCCATCAGAGCCAGCAGATATCGTCTTCATCATCATCCACTGAGAAAGAAACGTCGTTGGCCGCTGGCGCTGCAAAGACTGCTACCAAGGACTCTGATGTGACTCCTGCCGTGTCCACGTAAGTCAAACCATTTCAATCTCTACTCCCAGTCTCCAGTTCAGGGAGACCATAAGACAGGGGGAGGAGAAAAAAAAAAGGAAATCACTTCAAGTAACATCATTGAGTAACATTCGAATGTGATATCAATAGGGGAGTCATCCTCAAACTTCTCGGCTTTACGGTGGCGATGATCGTGGCCCCGATCGGGATGTATTTCCTGACGATTGATACTGTCTTTAAGGGTGAGTTTGTTGAGTTATTATTTTTTTTTTCCCTTTGTCCTTCATTTGAGAAATCGGTCAATTGTTAGAGAAAGGGGGAAAAGGAGAGAGAGAAGGAATGATCTCAATAACAGTCAAAAACTGGTGCCTCTGTCCATGCCATACATAAATATATTCATCAGCTTTCTCCCTTTTATTTACTATGCTACAGCTCCTAGCTTTTGAGACTCACTGTTTTTATTTTTTTTATACGATACAGGAAACTCCACCTTCGCTGGCGCTGGGGCCGCCCTCACGGCCAACGTCGTTCTGATCGCGTACATCGTCGTGGCATGGCGAGAAGACCAAGAAGAGGAGCAGAGGCGGAAGGAGAAAAAGACTCAGTGATTAGTGACGATTGTTTATGCTGTTTTGTTTGGTTTGAAAAATGATGCTGAGGAACTTTCATTGTTCATTGTATTTGCAGGTCGATGCCACTACAACTGTTGTATTGTATTGTACTGTCCTGTACTATGATACTGTGATGTATAATGTACTGCACTGTAATACTCTTATTGTCATTGCATTGCATTGATTTGGATTCGATTACACAGTGATTCTGTTCTACGTTCTCTTTTCATTCTCTGTGCAGATATGGCCAGTTGGGTGGGAGTTGGCGACCCTGCAGGCTCCTTATTTCGTCACAGGGCCATGTACTATTCCATATACCATTCCCTTTATCCCCCTACCTGTCAACAAACATGGGCTGCGATGGTGCAGCGGTTAGATCTGCACCAGCTACCGACTTGCCACAAACAGTCTGGTCAATCCAGTCTGTCCAGTCAGCAGTCTGGACGAAAGAAGCAGCTCGAGTTCTCCCGCTGGTTCTCAAAGGACCCATTTCACCTAACAAGTCGTGGAGGTGCTCCGGGTGGGAGGGCACCCCTTATCAGAGGGTTTTTTTTATTCTTTATTTTTTTTTTCTCGTGACGGTTGTTGTGGTCGTTCCCTTTTTGGGAAGTATATCGTATACCTAGGTATATATATAGGCGAGTATTTTGGTAGCATCCTCGACTAGGATATTCAGTTGAGGCTATAATCTCTCTCTCCCTCGCTTTTCCAATATTATTCATCTATCTATATCTATCTATGTGTCATCTCCGGAAATTCGAACAAGTAATGGCTTTCTTCCTACCTGCATAACGATACATTTCATCAGACATCTAGTCCAGAAGGGCATCCCAGCATCTCATACATATTCTTCATCCTCTGCTACGCCATCAAAACCAATTCGCCCAGCTAGGCAGGTCTCCTCTTGACAAATTCTTCGAGATCTTGTTGCGTCACGACGCCCAGAACGAACTTCCGTGCCGCATCAGTCACGATGGCAAACTCTTGCTTTTCTCGCCTTGCCGCATACCCTTCCCTGGGACCAATCTCTCCCTTGAAGAATCGCTCCAGCTCCTCCAAGGGCGTGGCCATGGTGATGACGTGATAGATGTTGCCCGGTTTCCGGTTGAAGCGCTGCATGGCGGCCCTGACAGGGTCGGATTCCTTGACCTTGCCCTCCCGGAGAAGCTCCTTGAGCCGCGGGATGTTGAGATACCCGATTAATGCACGCGTCTTAGAAGATATGACGGTTAGGTGGGTGTAGTCTCGTTCATAGGCAGCGAGCTGCGCGGAGAGGATGGAGTCATTGGGAGACACAGACAGGGCTGGAGGAGGGTCGAGATCTTCCACTGTAGCCTAAGTAGAGAGCATTAGTCTATAGAAACGGATAATATGACAAAAATTGCTCGTGAAAAGCTGGTTTTATCGCAAAAATTGAGCGGAGATATGGACGTCGCTTACCCCGCGGTACTTGTCTGCCCAAGAGGGCTGTACCTGTTGCGAAGCGGCAACAGCCCTTTCGGTAAGATGCTCTCGCGCGAGAGTCTCGCCGACTGACGAGTAACTGGTCATTCCAAAGCGTGGACTACTGCTTCAAGAGATGGACCAAGCTCTCAGCGACAAACAAAAGGGTGGGGCAATTGACAGCGGTTTTGAGGTCGCAGTAAAAATTGAGTTACAACAATCGTCACATTCAAGTAGAGGCGGTTTCTGGAGCCCCTTGCCAATTAGGAATATGAAACAAATGCGGTATATCTGACTTGCAAGGGCGAGGCACACTCTTGTGGCGTCTTTGCAGCCAGACAAAAGTGAAGCCAGACTGCGGTCGAGACCGCTGCTTAGCGCTCACTGGTCGTTTTGCGCCGGAAGCGATCCGGGCGCTAGGCGGGCCCGACTGTCCGACGCCTTTCGACGTCACTCCGTCACATCTCCGCTCCAGCTCGCCAGCGACTTTCATCATTCCAACCCAAGATTCCATCCTATTTTCTCTGCGAGGTGGACTGCTCTTTACATTCCCGCTGGTGGACTTTTACGTCCTGATCCGTGATTGAACCTTCTCCTGCTACTTGCCCTAAATTCGATCTCGCATAGTTCGAACACTAGACGGACGGCGCCGTGACGTCTCCACAGCTGCCGATAAGAGACCGTCCCAGTCTTGATAACTTATCGAGGGCATCGAGCTGTACAGTACAGAACACCATCCACAAACCGATCAATGGGAGTTAGACTAACAGGGTGACAAGCCCAAGATGGTCATCATGTTCCCTTCTCCGAGCGCTCTGACCAGCGTTTTCGCGTCTCAGCATCCCCTTACGCGGCCAAAATCGCAGCCTACGGCACCGACAACCATCAGGCGAGAGCCGTTCCCGGCCTGGAGTGCGGTTGACGATGTCAAGTCCGCTGGAAAGCAGGCCAAAAAGGGTCAGATTGAGCTCTACTCGCCCAAATACTATGCTTCGTGCACTTTTGGAGGCCTGCTGGCCTGTGTAAGTAGAGTCTGATCGGTTTCTTTCTGGTCCTGAAGACAATTCCCGAATAACAGCTCTTCCCTCTTCGATTTTTTTTCTCTTTCCTCCTATTCCCTTTTTCCGTGTTTCTTTTTTCTTAAGGAACATGGTACCAATGTTTTACACCCTGCCAGGGCTTAACCCACACGGCGGTAACGCCGCTGGACCTGGTCAAATGTCGACGCCAGGTCGATCCCAACCTCTACAAGGGCAATTTCGAAGGCTGGGCCAAGATCTACCGCGCAGAGGGCCTGCGTGGGGTCTTCACCGGTTGGGGCCCGACTTTCTTTGGCTACTCTGTGAGTATACTCTGACACACGAACACATCGCTGCATACTCACGCAGTCCAGGCCCAAGGTGCCTTCAAGTATGGTGGGTATGAATTCTTCAAGAAATTCTACAGTGATCTTGTAGGGCCGGAGAAGGCGCAGAAGTGGAAGACGTCTCTGTACCTGACGGCCAGCGCGTCGGCCGAGCTTTTCGCGGATATCGCGCTCTGTCCCTTCGAGGCCGTCAAGGTGCGGATGCAAACGACCCTCCCTCCATTTGCCAAGGGGACGTTTGATGGTATTTCTCAAGTCACGTCAAAGGAGGGGGTTGGCGGGTAAGTGGTTCGTCCTGAAAGGGTTCGGGCAGTTTGTTGATTCTGTAGACTGTTCAAGGGTCTGTATCCACTTTGGGGTCGGCAGATCCCGTACACGATGATGAAGTTCGCGTCGTTCGAGACAATCGTGGAGATGATCTACAACTATCTGCCTGGAAAGAAGTCGGATTACAATAAAACAGCGCAGACTGCCGTCGCCTTCACCGGTGGTTACCTAGCCGGTATCCTGTGCGCGATCGTGTCGCACCCGGCCGATGTAATGGTCAGCAAGCTGAATGCGAACCGGCAACCGGGCGAGGCGTTTGGAGCTGTTATTAGTCGGATCTACAAGGACATTGGCTTTATGGGCCTGTGGAATGGCCTGGTTGTTCGAATTGTCATGATCGGAACTCTGGTGAGTCGAGTCGAACGGTGTGTAGATATTTCATTTTCGCTAACTCGGCTGTGTACAGACCGGTCTGCAGTGGATGATGTATGATCCCAGCCCTTTTACTGGGTGTGTCTGTAAGCGGAATGCTGACATGGATGACCTACAGTTACGACGCTTTCAAGATCTTCATGGGTCTGCCGACGACTGGTGGTCCGGTCGAGGAACAGAAGAAGCAGAAGTAAACTTGGAACCCAGCACAGATGGCGGTTCTGGGCGTGGGATTAAGACAGAGGATGCGTGTGATGAAACAGGATGGCTGTCGACGAGTTTGTATGTAGTGGTATGGGAGAGGGTCTCTATTGTTGGACTTTGTAGATTAATAGTTGGCAATCCACTCTGCTCATCCTTTCTACCTGTCCGGATGGAGCATGCATTGTCCTATCTACCTGCTAATAAGTCGTTATTCTTTGTACAAAAGAGCCTGGACAAAGGGTTTATATTCAATCAACTGCGCAATATTACCAAGACTGGGAATGCTGTCTCTGATGACGTTTTAGTCATGGTCATCGCGGGCCAAGCGCCTTATCTTATCATCCCAGCTATCGTCCACCCACCCCCACCAATCCTCACGTCATCGGAATTGTTCGCGACAGACAGCCTTGTCATTGCCTGCAGAGAGCGCCTAGCCTTGTGCTAGTGACTGTGTATTCACGAGTTTTTTTTTTTTGCCGGGCAATGTCGAGTCCTGGATCGGGGCGCAACGAATCACTATCACCATCACCTGCTCAATTGCTTGCGCCCGTCTTGCAAGGCTGACCTCGTATAAAAAAAATATAAAGAACTACATTCTTATTATCCCTCTCATCTGCTATTGCCGATTGATCCGTACAGCTCTGATTTTTCTGTCTTGGAGAGATTTGATTTAAGTCTCTTTCGACTATAACTATAACTACTGTCCAGTCCTTATCTAATATAATACGATTGAATTGAACCCCCACGTTCTTCTAACTTAGGTACGTACATGTACGTTCTGTCTCGCCTCAGCCTCATTCACAATGACCACGTGTGAGGATTGTCAGGCAGGATTTTCATTGCAGCGTGGGCGTATGTGATAAAAATTCTGAGTCTCTGACCTGTTGACTGCTTTTTTTTTCTTTTCCCACTCATCCTCCTATCCTACTCCTCTTGTGTACATGAACTGGGTTCTTGGAAAGCCAATTGACCAGATATATAAATAAATAATCATTAGGATCGCGCACAAGCGAGAGCGAAACAGACGGAACTAAACTTCCTGCCATACTGTGTGCGAGATGAGTCCACAAAATGAGCCGATTGTCTCTCATGGACGGGGAGGTGAGTCATCCCTTTTCCATTTAATGACATGTTCATACTGACTGTTCTTTTGCGATGCAGGACAAGGGAACATTGGCGCTGATCCAACCAAGTATGTATACACATACAGCATCTCCGATCCAAAGGACTTGGGTGACAAAAACAACAAGAAGAGGAAGAATAAAACAAAAACACAAGAAGTGAGTTGGAGTTCTGACGGTCAATACCAGATACGTAGACGGCGAAATCGTCCGCAAGGGACCAGTCGGTGACCAAGGTGACGGGGCATATTCTGCGGGGGTATGTATACCACCCAACACAATATGAATGATATATATTAACTGATAAATGAATCCCAGCGCGGCGGAGCAGGAAACATCGGCTCACCCAACGTCCGACCCAGCACACCAGGAAAAGCGCACGACACCGAAGTCGTGCCCGAGATCTCGATCCGTCCTTCTGATGGGGATTATCATACTGGTGTACGTTATCCATCCTTGCAAGTATGCATGTGCGTATACGAGCTAATTTTGTTTCTTCCAGCGCGGCGGCCAGGGTAACGTGCACCTAGACCCGGAGCACCACAAAAAGGGCAAGGGCAAGGAGAAGGCCGAAAGACGGGACTCGTCGACGTCGACGGCGACGTCTTCGCACTCTCGTCATCATGAGGGATTGGCTGATAGGTTGAAGCATAAGATTCTTGGGAAATAAATGCCTAGTTAGCTAGCTAGCAGGCTTCACTCATGGGGCAGGCTTCTAGAAAGTAAGATAGATAGTTAGGTAGTTGTGTTAGGGATGCTATATATATATATCCTATCCCGTCCTCTAAATAACTATCGGAATCCAAACCAACGCAACCCCATACAATACAAATCTGATAATCTAACATGAACCATACAATATTAATAACATTAATCTCAATACATGTAATCAATATGGAAGTCAGTCAGTCAGTCAGTCATGTTCTCTTTTAGGTAAAGTACTGTACTGTAGATACATGCACTGGAGCTGTGTTGGGTAGGTTAGGTAGGTACACTGCATGATATAGCGTAGCGTACCGTGGCACGGCATCGCATAGCTTAGCATAGCACAGCATCTCGCATCTTGCATACTGCATATGCATGCATCCATCTGCATGCACTGTACTGTACATCTGGCAGGGAGTGTGTAGTTTAAATTACTGTAGGTACGCGTGTGCGCATTTATGTATGGACCCTGTACATACGCTGTGCAATGTGATATATATTGCATATATCACTGACGAAATCAGATTTCGAATCCAGGCACACTCGGAATAAAACACTAGAATGAATGAATACTCAAATGGTATGTAATCAGCTAACATCGACTAAAACTCCCATGGCATATTCCCTGTTCCTATCCCTATCAACCATTAAATCAAGAAATCAACCAACCAAGCCCGTCCAGTCAGTCAGTCAGTCAGTCAGCAGTCAATCAGCAGTCTGAAAGAGTTGGAGAAGGTGATGTCGTGACCTCGTCTATGGCGTAAAACAAGTGGTACATAAACAAATATCGCAATATCCCGCAGTATACACATGACAAGCATTACAGACCGAAAATCCAGCAAGGTAACAAAAAAATTAATGTGCATGATACGAAATAATCCATCCTCCCGAAACGCCAGCGTGACAAACCCGGTTAGCATCATAGCATGATGGCATGAAAGCAGTTCAGCTCCGGCTGAACCGCTTCTTGAACCAGCTCTGCCGTTTCTCTGATCCGTTTTTCTTCAGAGTGCCTTTATTGTTAGCCGATTCCGGCGTATCATTCTTTGATGGCGGAGGCGGTGGTTGGCTATAGGCATTGGCACCGTTCGTATACGTGTTTTGACCTCCGTGAGGAGGCGGCTTCGGCGCCGCGTGCTCCTGGAAGGACGTATCGAGTTGCGGACTGTCACCGAACCCGCTGAACCCATACGTCTCTTGCGGGGACTCTTGTTTCTGGCCGTTCTGCAACTGCTGTTGCAGCCGATCCATGGAGCTGTTAACCGAGCTGGGATCGGTCGAGTTGCCCCATTGATCCGTGTTGTTAGACCCGGATCCTGCCGTCATGTTGTCGTTGGAACGCTGGTACGACTGCTGCGGATAGAAATTCGCTGCGTTCCCGCCGTACCCATACTCGGAATTCATCCGGCCGTTCTGTCGCGGCCGCTGTCCTCTGTACTGGTTGTATGGGTAGTGAGGACTGTATTGCTGGGAACCTTGATAGTTATTATCGACATAACTATCCGGCCGCGAATAGCTTCCCCGACCGTAGGGGTAATTCCCTTGGTCACTGTATCTGTTGTGATTCGCGTTCCCTCCTATAACACAGCACCATGTCAGTTTTTCGACTCGAAATGAATATTTTCCAATAGAAGCCATACCGTAGTAGCTGCCCGGTCGGCTATACCCCCCGTTCGACTCTAACGAACTGTCAGCGGAAAAGGATTGCGGTACGCCACGAATCACGGAATTTACCTGTTCCTGCATACGACATGCGTCGATTATTGTAGCTCCCCTCAATGGCAGCCTCGAACGACCGGATTGTCTCGAGAGGACGTTCATATCGAGGGCGGGTGGGATTGGAAATATCAGGGTCCGCTAGTCAGGAGGATACGAGTCAGCAGGTGAAAGTTGCTGGCAGAAACGGGTCAGGGAGACAAACTTATGATATTGCCGTACTGATCCCGGTGTTGCATCGACCGCAAGGAGACCAGATTGGACTTCTCCAATGCGACGGCGGCTGTAGCAAGCATTCCTGTCAGCAAAGAACCATCGGCTTGTGGTCAGGGAGCGGGCGCACCTGGCTGAGCTTCGTTCATGGCGAGAGTAGGATCAGCTTTGGTATGCAGGGTTCTTTTGGCTTTCTCCTCGGGCGTCTCCGTTAAAGAGGACTTGCGCCCGGAGCCGTGCGACCTGTCCGACTTGCCGCCCAGGCTGAATCCGCGACTGCGCCGGGGCGAAGTTGGTGAAGGGAGATCGTGGGACCCAGCCATTTTGAATTAATACTCCGGTATACCTCGAGGCTGATCGAATGCTTATTTCTTGGCGCCGCGATAACGACCCAGAAAGAAGCGTGTCGGTTGCGAGCCGATCTCAGCGTCCGTGTGCTGCCCTGGCCAATTGTGGAGCGCGAGCTAGGCACCTGGAGGGTCTGTTGCTATCGAAAACGAGCGTGGAGCCGCTCTAGGTATCTGAGAGTGGAGCGGTGGAATGTTAAGAATGCTAGTATGAGCGGAGCGCCCGGTGACGGCTGGGGCGGCGATAACGATGATAGCGACGATTGAACGAGAGGATGATGAATTGTCTTTTTTTTCTGAGATAGATAGATTGTTTGTTCTTCTTTTCCTTTTCGTTATGTGGCGAGGGGAGGCAGAACGAGAGAAGGCGTGGCTGAGTGTCTCAGCACGGTCGGAGATGGCTGGTGCGAGCAATGACGTGGGCTGAGTCGATGATCGACAGCAGAACGAGCGTCAGTCAGTCGGTCAGTCTGCACTAGCTCGCAGTCCGGCGTCCGAGCAGACCATCGCTGGATGCATTGCAGGTCGCAAGCGATTAACGAGGGCGGCGGGAGAACCGTGGACGAGGGAAGGACCAGGTCAGGGTCGGATCCGGCACAGGCACAAGCACAGCACAGGGAACAGCAACGACGGACGCGGACATGGGCACCTTTTCATCTGCTGGGCGCCGCAAGCAGCCGCCTGCACAGTCGGGCAGGACACGCAATGCTCGGAGACAGCGTGCGTGGCAAGCCAACCGCTATCTCGACAAGCTTGAATCTCCCCAGCGGGTCGGCCTTCATTGGTGGGGGCCGCAGCACTGTTGCTTTTTTTACCGCGCGAGCATCGCCCAGCCCCAAAGTCGACGCCAGCGTCATCGCTAATCATGTCGCGCAGCAGACTCGCTCTGGAGGGGTTTGACTTCTCGCACGTACAGCCTCCCTCCAGCACGATCGTCCATCGCAGTCACGTGTATCTGCGTCCGGGAGGCCCGGATACGACGCAATGCCCCAGGCCTGCTAGCCCGCTGGCATGGTGGATGGCACACGAATCAAGCACTGTCGATTCCCTGCCATGACGGTTGGAATATATCGCTCATGACGATGATGGCTGATGGCCAGCTGCATCCCTGCGCTTCTCGTTGGCCCAGTCGCACCAGCCGATCTGCCTGTGTCCATCCCCACACCTGCCACCTTTGCTCCGGCGCCAGTGGATCTCAGCTTTCAGAGACTGGTGCTGACGCTAAATCATTCTGCCAGACTCTGCCAGACGCTGGGTGAACTGGTGGCGGGCACCATCCACCGTATGTCTAAGACAGTGGACCTCCTCGATACCGCGATGAGAATTTTCGAGAATCGATATGAAAATATTGACAAAGGAGATTTTGAACCAACCACTGGCACATGTGCTGGCAGGTATGCAGTGTACAGTGCGTTAAATATACTCTGTTCAGAAGCAGAGGTTAAAAAAAAGGAAATAAGGATAAAATACTCGCTGATATTTAATTTAATTTTCATATCTAAATTATCAATCGAAAGGTAATTTTTTTTAAAAAAAAAGTAAACAAAAAGAAGAAGGAAAGAAAGAAAAGAGAGAGAGAGAGAAAAAAAATTCCTTTCTATCAATGTTGCAACCCTCATTCATGCTGATAGTAACCCTAATGATAATGCAATCTCACAGGGTCAACTAGACAGAACACCGGCAGATGCGCCAAACTGCCGGGGATACAAATGACAACTGCAATCAGCCATGTCAAAAACTTACTGTATATTACCAGTAAAACATATAGAGAAATAAGGTACTCAATACGTTCATCAATGATATAGTTACATGTGTGAAACACCCGCCTTCGCAACCCCGCTTGTCATACTGCAAGCCAGACAAACAGCCAATACAGCTCTTCTCAACATATTCCTCATTTTGGAAAGGAAAAAATACATTCTTTCAAACGGACGAAATTAAGTCCACTCCAATGCCACAACATCCATCTTTACGGTTACGGGAAGCAACCTCGGCAGATATCCATGACCTGGCAGCCGTATTCCATCGAGCATTCACAGCTCCATTCTGGACGCAAAACTTTGGAGACACGCCCAACGCGCGCAGGTGGTGGGCGGACTGGTTCGCCATTGCCATCGAACGGGATCCTGCCGTCACGGTGCTCGTGGTGGAAGATGTGGATGTGAATAGCAATAAGAACAAAATTGTCGCGTTTGCCAAGTGGGTTCATCCCCAGTAGGAGGGACGACAAGTTCAAGGCAAGCTGTCGGAAGAGGAACGCTGGCCGCCGTTCTGCGAGGATTTCAACATCCCCGTCGCAAAGGCATTCTTTAAAGCCATGGCTGAGAACCATGCAGATATCATGGGCTCGAGGCCACATTACTGTGAGGCAAACTAAATTCAGAACTTTTTTTTTTCAACTGACATTGACCCTTCAGGGCTCGAACTACTGGGAACAGTCCAAGACTACCAGGACAAAGGCGCTGCTTCGCTGCTGATCAACTGGGGCTTGCAACGCGCCGACGAGGAACGAGTCGAGTGCTACATCGACTCGAGTCCGCAGGCGATTTCCATCTACGAGCGTTTTGGCTGGGTGGTGAAAAAGAGATCCTGTATGGTGAGGCAGCCGCAGCCTAGGGATCGGGTATCTACTACTGCTGCTGCTGTGCAGGCAGGGTAGCATCAGGAATGACTACTACCTACGTAGGTAGGTAGTATGCTAGATAGGAAAAGGTCAAAGTCTAGACTCGATTCAGTTATAGTGCTGATACTGTCATGAGACACGACACCATAAGGCTTAAGCTAAGCTTATCTTTGCACCATGTCTGTGGGTATAAGTGGAGCGAGGCAAACAGTACGGAGTATTTGGATTCAATAATAATAATACCTAAATTACTAAAACACTCCACACAGCACGCTAAGCTCAATATCGTAATGGACTCGACTCAGCTTAGACAACGTGATGTACGCGTGGATGAAGGTATGTACACACATACACCTACTGAATGATCAGATGTTGGGCAGTGAATTCGCTGTCAGACTTGCCTCAGCATGGGAACAGGTATCATAAACGTCTCAGTTCATAGTCTAAGGCATAATAATTGTGCCATTCCTGGAACGCAAACATGGTCCGCCAGCATAACAGCCAAAAGTTGGACAGTCCACACTCTCCTGGAATGGTAATGTTCTCTCCTGGCATGTGGGTAATTCTAGGCAAGACGACCTATGCCGTCTTATTATCCACGCCCCCAGGTTTGTGAGGACGTGCAAATGCCTCGTATTTACCGCTGCTGTAGTACATGCTTCCCAAGTTACGGTTGAGAGTCAAAGTTATTAGTCGAAATCGCTATTGCAGACCTGCTTTTGTCCATGAGCAGCTTTAATTTAATAAGGCAACAGAGATCTTTAATACAAATCAATCAAGATACTGTCGGTAAAATAGTCATGACTATCTCTACCTGTTCTTCTTGAAGCCTGCTGCAACGAACCAGGATGATGATAAAGTCTCGAACCACATGATGCATACCTAGGTATGTGGGTAGTTTTATATCACACGCTATTTATTATAGGGCGGTAATTTACGAAAAAGGTATAGCTAGCTTCAAGGAGCAAGGAAGGCCGTGGATGTGTACCTAGGTATCTATGCTAAGGAGTTTTGGTGGTAGGTTGTTTGGATGGAGGAACATTGGAATGTAAAAGTTTAGGTAATTATCATCTTTTATCGCCTGCTGTACAGTACGTGTATTTGTCCGCTGCATCATCTCGGGAACGATGAGGTCGATGGCATACCACATTAATCACTTGCATATTTTGATGGTCTCGTCGTGTCTGTGATGTGATACTGTTTAGCAGAAATTACGTCTACAATCAGTGAAAACAATCAGGCCTTTATATACTCCTCAGAAGCTTAATGATCAAAAAGAAGAAGAAGAGGAAGAGAAAGAAGATACACTCCTGTCTAAAGTAAGGCTGCAGGATGATCGATTCGGACAATTGTTGCGCTGTCGTATTGGTTCCGGTAGTAGGAAGGGCTATTGTCGAATACTATCCTTGAGGCAGGTGGATGGAAATTGAGTTATTTCATCTCTTAAAAGAATTATTTCGTCTCTTGAACTTGTATGATTTCGGTGCATACGACCGTCAGATACACTTTGGGAGAAAAGCGATGCTGCTAGACAAAACACATCATGCTCGCCCGGGTGGAATCAAACCCAAAGAGCAGATTAATGTAAACCCTCATGTGGCAGAATGATCTCTTTTTTTATCGTTAATAGATAGGGAATCCGTTATCCCCTAAGCCCTATTGTCACATCCGCTAACTCCGTCCCTCTTGCACCCGACGTCAACCTTTTTTTTTTTATATTTGAAAAAGGGTCCGTCTCACTGACCCCATCCCCGCTGCACGTCATAGAGAAAGAGCCCCGCTAGGTCGGCTTTCAATTTAAATCGAGGAAGGGTACAGCATCACGCGCACGGTAGCACCGAAGGACTTGGGCGGCAGGTTGTGTCGGAATTGTGCTCGGACGACGCCGGAGTTGCCTGTATTCCCATCAACAAGTCAGAGCCAACCCTCCATCAGGTTCGACATGATCTGATTTCGCCATCGCGACGCCAATCTTGTGACAGGACTCCACGTACCGTGCGTCCGAGTAATCTTGCCCCAGATCACCCGGATCTTGGTGCCCCGAACCTCTCTCTTTGCCCGGTAGACGAAAGCGACCTTCTTGCCCAAGTAGAAGCTGAACAGAGTAACCATCTTAGCAACACGTCCAAACCAGCATAGGTCTTCACGCGGCGTGCTTCCACTCACTTGGCGGCCTTGGGGTCATCCACACCCTCAATCTTGATCAGACTTGTGTTGGGGTTTGTGTTGCGCTTTCCGCGCTGGTAGCTCAGGTGGCGGCCCCTATTTCAAAGAAATTCGAGTCAATCTTCTGTCCTCCGAATGGATGCATGTCTGTTTCCTCCTGGTCTTCAAGCGGATTTATATCGTCCCCCAAACTTCCACATGCACATCGCAAACGACAACGGATCGAGGAAATGCTTACTTGACGTAGACTACAACAACGAGTTAGCTCACAATGTCAATACAATTCATTCTTTAGCCGCATCCTGCGATGTCTGGCCAGTCTGGACCAGCGCGCATATAAACCAGCACGGCTGTCATCGGGGGCATTCCACTCACGTCTGTGACCGTGTTCCGAAGGCATGGTGACGGATTTCTCTCTGAGCAACAGCGGGCAAAGCAAACAAGTCGAGAGAAAGGCAACGCTGACCCGCGAAAGTCAGATGTCGGTCGTTGCGGTTGTCGAGGTTGGTTGTCGTCTTCGCTTCGGTGGAAGGTGAGTCGACGCACAATCTTCAATTTGCATCGGTGTGTTTGGTGCGGCTTCGCCCTAGCCCGAAATGGGTGCTTAGCGAGGCGCTTCCCGCCAGGGCTAACCGAGACCCCCGTGACCACTATTCCCTTTTGGCAGCAGCGCGGACTGGAACGGTCTTTTCCGCAAAGGGACTAGTGCATCTTGGAGGATGAATCATGAAGCCCTCTCTGCCGCCTTTGTCTCCGCCTTTTCTTCCCGACTTTCGGAACACCGTGCTCCGTACTCCGGAACCCCAACCCGAGCTGTCGGTGTTACAGCTTCTCGAACGGCTTCTGACAAATCCATCCATTCATGATTACTGAGCAGCACCGATTTTCCGCTGAGGAACCAAACAGGCGTCACTGATCGCCAGGGACGCCATTTTCACTGCATCTCTGTAGCCAGCCTTCCACGGTGGGAGCTTTCTCCCGCAACATTTGGTGACGTGCAGGTTCAGTTGCCGATCAGGGCATCCGAAAAAGTTAAGGCCGATGGTGCTTCTGACCGTCGTTCCAGAAGCTGTAGACGCGGAAAATTACTCTGTCTGCTAAAACAGGCGGGTAAATTTGTTCCGCGATGGAGAATTCACCGGTGAGCCAATTTATCCGAACACGATGAGGGCATTGTTGGCATCTGTTGATTACAGAACGTCTAGGGTGTTTGTAAAAATATCCCAGATTCATAAATAGCCATCTGATATCTCAATGAAAAATTTTGTTGGCATGCCTGCCAATCCCACTAATCAATGCGCGTGCAGCTCTGCGGCAGTTCATATCTGGTCGTTGTCTGCGGGGCTCTGCCCACTTGGCTTAGTAACTGACTATCGGGCTCCATCAAGGAATCAATTTCGCGATTTTCTTAATTTTACTCAGAGCTATGTTTTCAGGATATGTGGCAGTAAAAAGTAGCCCTCATCGGCCTCTGGAATTTAATAGATGGTACCGGCTTTAAAATTATCCATTGTTGGCTTCAGTGTGCTGCAGGCTGAGGTGTTTGCTTGAGTAAGCATGGTATCATGGATCAGCCGTGTTCTATCCCAGATCCACATCCCCATCAGTGACGTTTAGCAAAAGCCGTCGTACCGGGCTCTGGGCCGATATGGGGACTTTGATGACAGTGGCAAGGCAAATCCAGTTCTTGCCAGCACACCTGGGAGGTACAGTGAAAAAAATAGCCTGCGGAAGGAGTAACAAGGCAGCCACGAGGCCAATCCTACGACCGTCGCTGGCTTGTCTGCTGCCGACTATCCCACCTTCCCACCCCATCAAAGGGCCGCCCTTCCCTTCCTTCAAGTCGGGGCGGTAACATGCAGGATCAGCTAGTAACTGCTGTGACTACGGAGTACATCGAGCCCTGTCTGACTGTCTGCGATCTGTGTGACGCTGACTTGCTACGAAGCTCTGCCCCACCATCGTGCCTCACCCACCTGCAAGCTACACCGGGCAGCCCGTCCCGTTAAAACCGTACCTTCTCCGCCGGAACTGCTGGATAAACCCAGCTTTTTCTCCGTCCTCCTAACACCTCACACTTTCGCTTCCATCTCTACTGTCCTCTTCTTCTCAGTGCGTCCTGCTTTGCGGCTACACTGACCCAATTCCAAGATGGCCAGCTCAATCACCGAGGCCGAGCAGCACGCAAATGCTGGGTGAGTCAACTGTTTGACTGCTTTGTACCGCTTACATCACCCCTCGTTCCCATCGCGGGGCAGACTCCATCCTTTGAGGACCGACGATATCAGACCTGACTGCTGTCGCCAACGCTTCTCCCTACGAGCTGAGCTTCTTTTATGCTTCTCTCCTTAAGAAATCTGCCCTATTTCTCTTTTTTGTTGCATCGTTATCGATATGCGTTCAGCTCAGCTCAACTCTTGACTGAACGCTCGGAAAGCTAATATTGACTTCTCAACCAGCACGGTCGAGCTCAAAGATGACACTGTCATCGTGGTGCTTGGCGCCTCTGGCGATCTTGCCAAGAAGAAGACTGTTCGTGATTCCCTCTGCTCCTGCTTCTGCCAGCGGCTCCGATGCTAATGATGCTTCAGTTCCCAGCTCTCTTTGGCTTGGTATGTGAATGACGAATATTGGTGGAAACGGTTCGTTGTTAACAAGCTCCGACAGTATCGCAACAAATTCCTTCCCAAAGACATCAAGATCGTCGGCTATGCCCGCACGAAAATGGACCATGCAGAGTATTTGCGACGAGTGAAATCTTACATCAAGGTGCCGACAAAAGAGATCGAGGAGCAACTCGAGAGCTTTTGCAAGCTCTGCACCTACGTTTCGGGTCAATATGATCAGGATGAGTCCTTCAAGAACCTCAATAGGCACCTCGAGGAGATCGAGCGAGGCCAGCATGAGCAGAACCGAGTGTTCTACATGGCCCTGCCACCTAGTGTCTTCATTACGGTATCGGAGCAACTGAAGAGGAACTGCTATCCCAAGAATGGAATTGCGCGAATCATTGTACGTTGGATAGCCTCCTGCGCGGAAGCAACGCATGTGAGCGACACGGATGCTGACAGGGCTACTTGGTCTGTAGGTCGAGAAACCGTTTGGCAAAGACCTCCAGAGCTCCCGGGAGCTGCAGAAGGCTTTGGAGCCTAACTGGAAGGAGGAGGAAATCTTCCGGATTGACCACTACCTGGGAAAGGAGATGGTCAAGAACATCCTCATCCTGCGGTTCGGAAACGAATTCTTCGGTGCTACCTGGAACCGCCATCACATCGACAATGTTCAGGTATGCCGAAGCCTGGAATCACGTTTTGGCCACTTCTGTGACTGACCGTCATTAGATCACATTCAAAGAGCCATTCGGCACGGAAGGGCGGGGTGGTTACTTTGATGAGTTCGGCATCATTCGAGATGTTATGCAGAACCGTATGTCAAACCAAGGGCAGTTGATCACTATTGGAGAGACGGCTAATCCTGTTATCTAGACCTGCTGCAGGTGTTGACGCTACTTGCCATGGAGCGGCCGATTTCGTTTTCTGCGGAGGATATCCGTGATGAAAAGGTACGCAGAGCCTATACTGGCATTTCCAATGAGCCAGCTGCTGATCCTTTCTCTTCTTTCTAGGTGCGCGTTTTGAGAGCGATGGACGCCATTGAGCCCAAGAATGTCATCATCGGCCAATATGGACGGTCGCTCGATGGCAGCAAGCCTGCCTACAAAGAGGACGACACTGTCCCCAAGGACTCTCGCTGTGCAACCTTCTGCGCCATGGTGGCATACATCAAGAACGAGCGATGGGATGGTGTTCCCTGGATTCTGAAGGCCGGGAAGGGTAAGGATTCAGAGCTGTTTCAGCCTGCCCTGGCCGTGAAACTAACTGCATCCAGCCCTTAACGAGCAGAAGACGGAGATTCGCATCCAGTTCAAGGATGTCACGTCGGGCATTTTCAAGGACATTCCTCGAAATGAGCTGGTCATTCGGGTGCAGCCCAACGAGTCTGTCTATATCAAGATGAACTCCAAGCTTCCCGGCCTTTCGATGCAGACGGTGGTCACGGAACTCGATCTGACCTACCGCCGTCGCTTCTCCGACCTCAAGATCCCCGAAGCATACGAGTCGTTGATTCTGGACGCCTTGAAGGGTGACCACTCCAACTTCGTCCGTGACGACGAGCTGGATGCCAGCTGGAGGATCTTCACGCCACTCCTGCACTACCTGGATGACAACAAGGAGATCATCCCGATGGAGTACCCTTACGGTGAGGACCCCCCACCCCCACCCCCATTTGGCTCTCCCGCTGCATGGAAGAGAAATCCCCACTAATACTGTGTCGTTTCTTTAGGCTCCCGAGGGCCTGCGGTTCTGGATGACTTCACGTCGTCCTTTGGCTATAAATTTAGTGATGCCGCGGGCTACCAGTGGCCCGTGACGTCAGTTCCGAATAGGCTGTAGATTACTGTCGCGAGCACGATTCTTCAAACGATGTAATGCTGGAACTCAATACCGGGTCTAAGGGTACGGGATTGGCGATCGTTCTAGGCGCAAGTGCATGTCTTCTCAGACGGAAAGCTCTTCTTCGGTTGCAATACCTGGGCAGTGATTGTTGGGCATCCTGATATCGGCTTTCAAACTCCCAAGCGGAGCCTCATAAGCATGGACCAGGAAGATCACGGACGAATGATATTTCTATTTTATTTTTTTTCCAAGGTCACGTTGAAAATATGTGTTCAAAATATATCCTGGATTACGGTAGAACTAAAAGCCTGGAGGGTCTTGCTATTCTCTGCAGGTGACCGCACTTGAAGAAATTAATGACGTGATGATTTGGCCTATATTTGATCTATCCTTTGCTGTAGAGGAAAGTAATATTATAATACTGTTTAGATCTAGTCCATGGTGTCTTTTTAATTAACCGGTGTTATTTATCTTCGGATCAGGAACGATGTATCCGCTTGGCAGCGGGTCCGCGACCCCTGAGACGTGCATGCCTGAGGACGTGAGTGGCGAGTGCCTCCACGCTATGCCGCAGACAGCAGCGCGCGCACCGCCCGGCCTCAGCCACGCAGGCCCGCCCAGGCCCGGCGTCCACAGCGTTCCATGACGCGTGCCCTGGATCCGTCTTGGGCTAATTAGATTTCAATTGCAGACTTGGTCGATTGTCGCACACTTTCTCTCTCTGCATCCTATTGCTCTCCCTCCCCCAGACGCCGCCGCGGAGACTGCTGTTACGGTCGGCTCAGTTGAGAGTCTGCATGACTGCCACCAACCCGACTATATCGCACTGGCCCGGACCCGAAGATCGAAGCTTGGATAAGATAGCTTATTGATGGCAGGAGGCTGCGGTCCACGGATCTGCTCGGTGCTGAGACGGGGATCGCAAAACTCTACGAGTTACCGGACTATATCGCGAGCAAGCAGCTGACAAGCTGTGAGCTGCTCACCTGAGGCTCGGGGTTGAAGCCTGGAAACGAGACAGCAGTGGAGGGAGGAAATTGAACGGTGGGCCGGCCTCTATATGCGCAATTCAACGCCGTCACTATGCGCGCTGCATCATGGACAGGCACGCCGGCCATCAAGGGCCGGACGGAATCGACACGCATGGCATTGCTGACGTTCAGTCTGATTGGGCTGCAGTATGTCCTTTTTTCGAGGTAAACATCGTGGAGAGCATGGCTGATGAACACGCACGCTCAAAGGTTCACATGGGGCATTGAGATGACTTGTATGTCGATTTCTCTTCTACTATGAGGGTATTATCTGATCTGACTGGAAATTTCGCGGACGAGCAGATTGCACTCCCTACCTTCTCCAGCTCGGTTTGACGAAGTCGCGAACATCCCTGGTCTGGATCGCTGGTCCGCTCTCCGGCCTCATCATGCAACCTATCATTGGCGTCATCGCTGATCGCTCACGGTCAAAATGGGGAAGACGACGGCCGTTCATGGTCGGTGGCTCTTTTGTTGTTGCGGCCTGTCTGCTCCTGCTGGGTTGGACCTCTGAGGTGGTCGGAATGTTTGTACACGATGCGGAGAAGGTAGGTGGGATGCGCATTCTGCAACGTGGTGTTGTCGCCCCGGAGTTTCCTTGATATTGACAATCTTCTGCTTCATAATAGAAAAAGAGTGCTACTATCGCAGTGGCTGTTTTGAGTATTTACGTCAGTCGATTTTGCCATCAATGCAGGTACGTCTTATTCTCATTCAGCGCTCGACTAGATACTGATCGGCTCTCTACAGTTCAAGCCTGCTGTCGCAGTCTCATCGTCGACACGCTGCCGATTCCTCAGCAGCAAGCAGGATCCGCATGGGGTAGGTTGCCTCGGATGTGTTTTTCTGACTAGGGTTGCTGAAAGCATGAAGCTAGTAGGATGTCTGCAATCGGCCAGCTCATCGGTTATGCCATCGGTTCCATTGATATGGTCACAGTTTTCGGAACGAGATTTGGCGACACCCAATTCAAACAAATGACCGTAGTTGCGGCGCTGATGTTGATCGTGGCCGTTTTGATCACTTCGTATTCTGTTAAGGAAAGAGTATTGATCTCTGCCAGGTCAGTCATGCCTAGGATGGAATTCTTAGCTCCGACATTTGCTGACGACAGCACAGAGACTCGGATGGCAAAGCGGGTGCGATCCAAGTCCTGTCGCAGTTGTTCAAAACGACCGTGAATCTGCCGCCTCGTATCCAGGCCATCTGTTGGGTGCAATTCTGGTCTTGGATTGGTGCGATTTACAAAATGAACCTCTGAATGGTGGGCGCAATCTTGCTGACCGAACTCGACAGGCTGGTTCCCGTTCCTCTTCTACAGCACGACGTGGGTAGGCGAGACCTACTTCCGATATGAGAGTCCCGAAGCTGCGACTCAATCTACCGATACGCTTGGTGATGTGGGCCGTCTGGGCAGTCTGTCTCTTGTCATCTTCTCGTCTATTACGTTCATCAGTTCAGTTCTTCTCCCTTTCTGCGTGCGTTCTCCAGATAATAAGAAACCGAATTTCACACCTCGGCCTCCGCCTGGCATCGCAGCACTGCTGCGCAAGATCAAGACCGTCCGCCCCGACTTGCAGACGGCGTGGTTTATCTCGCATCTCATGTTTGCTGCCACTATGATCTTTGCGCCGCTGGCCCGATCCGTGCGATTTGCCACGTTCCTGGTCTCCATCTGCGCCATCCCGTGGGCTATCTCGGGTTGGGCGCCGTTTGCATTCATGGGGGTCGAGATCAACAAACTCGCTTTGGAGCCACCGACCAATCCACGACCGACCGCAGCGATGATCACGTCGACCAGTTTCCGTACGCATGGGTACCAACCGCTCGACACCATCGATCGAAACGCAGATGTGGAGAGGGATGTGCTGCGTCTGAACCATCGAAATGCCGACGATGACAGCGACGACGAGTCCCTCTCCGATGGGTCATCCACCGGCGAGCTGGCCGGGATTTATCTGGGGGTGCTGAACGTGTACACCACGCTCCCGCAGTTTGTCGGAACCTTTATCAGCTGGGTTGTCTTCAGCATCCTCGAGCCTGCGACCCCGAAGCCCGGTGACGGCGACAAGCCGGAGGCCTCGCGAGATAGTGGGTGGATCAGTGCGAACTCGGACGGTCCAAACGCGATCGCCGTTTGTTTGTTTATCGGAGCGCTCAGCGCCTTGGTCGCTGCTGAAGCGACCAGACGGTTCAAAGCAGTGCACTAGCCGTACTCATACCAGTGCGTCCTTGCATGATTTGACACTGTTTCAACCAGCATGAAACCCACCTACCCACCCACCTACCTACCTACCTACGTAATTCTCTCGGGATACCCGATATTTCTGTCTTGATCTTCGTCTTCAGGGTGGTCATATCTATGCTTTCGGTTGTTGATTTTGTTTATATATTTATTCATGACGATCTTGATGACATCTCTTGTGGCTCAGATTTCAGCGCACGTTAAGACGTTATAATGTCATTTTCCTGTAAATAATCATCTCATCGCCGGAGGGTTTCTTTCTGAGCTTTATACCCAAGGCTAGAAGGGGAGGAGGCAGCATGCCTGGTTGGACAATTATCATTCATAGTTAATGCATAATCTCTGTCTGTCTGTGCTTTCGCTAGAGCAATTCTTTGTCTGTAAAACCTTAAGCTCATTTTCCATAGAGAGAGAAACAAGAGACGTAACACGAACCATCCTGCTATCTACAGCCTTCTTCGCATCCCACCTACTACATGTATGTACTCTACTCATTTTTCACTTCCATCATCCTCTTCAACCTCCTATGCTCCAACCCCGTGCCAACAACCACCATACTCAACAGCACCACACAGATATACGCCTGCGGAAAGCCCTGTCCGAACTCTGGATCAACAGGCAAGGACCCGGGATACAGCGCCGCACTCAGCTGCGTCACCCAGTACAAGCTACCCAGCCAGGCGGCAGTCCACAACGAGGACAATTCTTGCGCCAGCGCTTGCGCCAGTGCCCGCGGTTCTCGTGATGATGATGATCGACCAAACAGGTAGTAAAGACTGCTAAGCCCCAGCAACAGACCCATCGACATGGTCTGTCCATTGTGGAATTTTGCGTGTGGCGGCCAGCGCGGGTTGTAGATGTGTGTCTCGTTCATGTCGGCCAAGAAGCCGCCCGCGGCGGTGAGGATGGCGACGAGAGCGAGGAGGATTCGGCCGGGCGTGATGGTGGTGGTAGTTGTGGTCATGTTGAATGGAATGTACTGTAGATTATTATTGTTATGTGCCTAGGTAGATGGCGCACGCGAGTCTGTGGTGATGAGTGATAGGAGCAGGTTCGAAGTTCGCTCTTTCATGGCAGGTCTTGGTGTCTATACGGATTAGAGTTTCGCACCAAAGTTTCCGAGTATTTACCTACCTACCTGGATAGGCAATACCTCGGTTGGATACTTAACCCGATCAGGTGTCCTCCATCCTGTATACTACAACCTGCCAATGGAACTGGGTATGGGCTGTTTACATATTGATTGTCTTGATTGCATCCAGTAGGGCCTATTAATAACTTGGTCACCGCTCTAGTATTACAAAAAGATGGGTTTTTATCCATTCCGCTGCCCAGGTTTCATATGTCCATACATACATACATCTAGTACCATTAACCAACTTAGGTCGAAAGCGACTCGTGTCGTGTTAAGATGAATCAATCTGTCGTAGAATCGCCCCACTGTTCCTATTCACATCGTGACCGTCATTAACTTCCAAGGAAGACTTCAGGGAACAGGATAGGTTCTGTCTCCCTAAACTCGAAACAATCTCAGTTCTATAAGAAAGCAAATACCTATAAAATGATAATAGACAGCACATACCCCGTTGTGTAATTATTATTTATCGTCAATCCCAAAGAAGATTCATGGTTACACAACACCACCCCTGAAGCTACTGTTGCTGCGTGACGCAAAAAAGGAGCATGCAACAACAGCGATGCAGACAACAAAGTCAATGAACATAAAGGCTGTATCCGCCTTGGCGGAGGTGCACCTGCTGTTCAATTCTCCTAGGCTATCATATCCGCAGACCTCACCCTGTTTCGTAGAGATACAGCCTCCGTCGAGCAGGTCGTTATTGTACGTCGTAGTGGGGTCGGAGCAGTCAGTCCCACGAAGGAGGATCGCATAGGCCTAAGAGAGAGAGAAGCGAGTTAGCAGCTTGTCATATATGTATTGGTCGAGATCAAGGTGTACATACAAGGCCGCCAGCGAGAAATGCAAGGCTTGCCAAGCCATCAAGAACCCAGGTCACAATACCATCCAGAGAGCTGGCAAACAGCGCTACAAAGCCAACCAGTGCCGCCAGAATGCCCAGACCACCGGTAAAGGCACTGTAGCCTGTTGCTGCCGGCACGGAGTTGTAGACTTGGTGCTTGGCGAGAGTCACAGAAACACCAAGGACGACGATCGCGAAGAGGAACTGTGCAAGAATTAGCGTATGCTCCTGTTTTCCAGTTCTAAAAGGAAAGAGAAAAGCTACTTGCCTGAAAGACGCGAAGGACCCCGGTAACCAATTGCATCTTGAAGGGTTCAGAACAATATAGCTCCCGCTGTGGTTGAAATCTACTCCGTACTTTCGCAAGTAACAACTGCAGGAAGGAGAGGGATATTACCTTTGAGAAATATGAAACGAAGGAACTGACTCGAATTTAAACGAAAGCTGGGCACTAATGTACTACTGGCTCAGGCAAACAAGGCGACACGGCACGGGGCACGGCGATCAAACAAAGCATGTATCTGCAACCACGGCCAGCTGCCTTGGGCACAGCCTCGCTAGTCAAAGTTGCAGGCATTATTAAAATTAGGCGCTCAATCATCGATGGCGGTGTTACTCCCTAAAACAGCCCCCAACACGTTCGTTGCATATGGTGGGCGCTTACTGTACGATATGCGATGACCAACACTTTCAGCCGCATCGCCCGCCCCTCTCTCACACAAGGTGAGGGAAATCAATCCTTGACTTGTCAAACAGCCTCACACGGCAGTGAATCGGCAGTCTCTTCACCGGTGAAGAATGCATTACTCATAAAAATGGCTCAAATTTATCTTTTTGGTTTGTTCTGCATCCAAATATTTTGCCTTTAAAAAAAAAACGTCGATCCTAAACTAAACGGTGTACCGTGTGCCAGGCCCTGAACCTTCTTCTCTTGGACACTTCTTTCAGGTTGATCCCCGGCGAAACTGTCCCAATCTAAAAATAGGTTATTCGGCTATCAGCCTATTATTACCTCTCGTGTACATACGGTGTGCTGTCAGCCGATATGAGGCTCGTTAGCATCTCCGCGCGTAGATAGTAAGCTTGAAAGCAAGCGATGATCATTGAGTATATGGCAATTCTGCTCGTTTGTTCTCAGAAACACGGCCTTGAAATCGAACGTCATTACGAGCAGTGTCTACATTTTGTGGATGTGAATCGCTCATGGATTCCCTTCACATGTACGTACATACGGTACATACTTAACCAGCGTCCTTATACAGAGCCTCAAAGAAGGTAGCTAATTAGCTTCTTCGAGGTCAGAGCCTTGTTTGAATTTGCCATTACTATATCATTTCGGTCATAGACTCACCTTCTAGTATTACCTCGGCCGCAATTCTCCGACCACATACTATATAAAGTCCATATTATTGCTGCAGATTCATACTGTAAGCTTACTTGCCCAAGTGCAGTCAACTTAAACCACTGATCTAGTTCCAGAAAAGATGGGATTCCAATAATAATGCCCACAGTACCTGGAGTGGTACGTGCCAAACCAGAAGTAGGGTGTAAGGGCTGACCACCCTACCCTGTCCAGAGTGTTATGCAAGGTGGGCAAAGCTCAGAGGGCAAGGTTGTAGATTAGTATTAGCAAAGTTGGGCAGGTTTAGAGGAGGGATACTATACTATTAGAGATGTTTTATTAGAGTTTTGTTCTGCTATTCCTGTCCTGGACTGAATAAGAAGATTATCCTCAAAAATAAATGATAGCTGTTGAGTTGATATTTCTGAATTAAAAGGCTGTCACATTACCCCAAGGTTGATCATTAATCATATTAGGCTGGAATTTCCAGCTTGGTTTCATCAAATACTTACTGTTAAGGATGGGATCAAAATGCGTGTTGGCTGTGAGACTGCTTTTTGTATAGGCAAAGACGACAGGGCCAGCGATGACCTTTCTTTTGAACTGAGCGTTTTCGCCAGGAGCCTGTGTTGTAATGGCTAGAGATCAGCTTGATCGAGGAGAACTGGCGTTGACATGGAAAACAAATATGGTGAGATTGTTCCGAAGACACTGAATCTGGAAAAAAGGAATAAGTAAAGGACTTTTGTACAGATGTTTATACAGATTATTAGATAATATATCATCAAGTTTAGCCACTCGACTGCTCCCTAACTACGTTCTCTACAGCATAGTCATGCAACGAAGAAAAGAGAATTATGCATAACCAGTCATTTTGATCGAGGTTGCGAAAGAGATATTACAGGAAAAGTGCTGATCCTCTCAGTCTGGCGTTATTTTCCTTCCTCCCCTCGAGGTTGTAGTTCTCCTAATTGCCTTGACGGCTTCCAGCTCGACTGGACGAGTAGCAACTAGCATTGTGAGGCGCCTAGATAGTCAACACCATAGAGCCTCACGACAGCAATTACTGTAGCAAGACTGACAGCTCGGGTAATTAGGGGGGCATTGCAAAGGCGCAGCTACCAAGCAAGCCGGAATTGGCCTTATATAAACCTAGATCAAAAGAATCTTAGTTTTTGAGGCCATGTTATCCCCTTATTTTGTTTATAAAAGGCTGAGGATGTTGAAAGAATGGGGCAAAAACTGTTAACGCCCCGATATTGGCTTTGGACTCTGAACTGGGTATTTCCGCACTCTCACAGAGGATTATCTTATTCTTGTGTGCGCATTCTCGCGACCATTCAAGAATAATATAGCAATAAGAGCTGTTAATATCGTTGTTCATAGCTTCGTTGACCTACCGATGTCCTCAAGGAAGACAATCCCCCAACCAAGTGGCAGCACAGGCGATCAGCCTTCTTCCAGCGTAATAATCACCTTTTCTAAGAATCTCCCATTATCACGTGGTTCCTCAAAACAAAGGTTGACAAGCTCACGAGTCTGCGTGGTTCTCTACTATCTGTAGCTTGTTTCCGAACATTGTATCTTAGGTTTAAGGCTTGTCTTACTAATAAATAATATTTCTGGATCCAAATAAGCATATATTAAGCAGATATATGAGAATATAACAAATGCACTACTAGTGATGATCTGAAGCATGCTTAGCTGCAGGTTGCGACTGAAAAAGCGGGGTTTGAGCAAAGGGTATATATAAGGGTAATAGAGTAGACAGCTAGCTCATATTGAGAATAAAGTGAGCTAGGTAGGTGTGAAATAGAGGTAGATAAAGAGAAGAGATGGTTAGACCAGCAACAGGCTGCAGGTTTTATACGATTTTATAATACACTGTACTAGGTATTAATGGCACCCAGACCAGAAAAACGAACCGTATTCTGTAATTCTCAGGTCCTCATTTTAGAATAAAAATGGAATTGACTTGTCTTTCGTGGAATTGCAAATTTGAAATCGAAATCGTTATCTTTCAGTCAGTCTAGTCCACGTGATGAAAAGTCGTTTGACCAGGTACTTCTCTCATCAATATAACATCAGAATGCATAATATGTACGGCTTCAACACTGGCTAGGCTATATAGATTTTCTATCCAGGAACACAAGCTAGCTAGCTAGCTATACGTACTTCACAGAATACACCACAAGGTCCACAGTCCAGTTCCATAGATGATACCGCCAACTTCCGGCCCATTCCGAGCGTCAAGACATGAACTATACAGAGCGAGATTTATATTAATAATAGAGACCTCGGTGGATCAACGGATGTCCGTGCCAGCGGAGACTAGTCCCGTTCTGGGAAAGTGATCTGCAGGCAAGGCAGACTTCTACTGAAAATTACGCTGTACTCCGTACAGGATCAATAAGGTGGAAAAGTGGATGATGGAGGATCGCCTCGTGAAGTTTCTATTTGTCTTGTTCTTCTGTTCTTTTCTAGCATCTGGAAGTTGTTGCAATCTTGGTTAATGAATTTAGGTTTAGGATCCTAGATCGACGATCATCCATCTTCTACCTAGGTAGACTTTTCCTTTTTCCTCTTAGTGAAATTGTAAAATGACATGCATTAGGTACCTAGGTATTTTGTATCTTGGATTTTTTTTGTTTTCTGAATTACGTTCTGTAGGATATAGAATCTCTTCATAGCCTGTCAAAGACTGGATTTTATTCCAGTCCTACTACTTTTTTTTTAAGAGCTTTCCTCTTGAGTTGACCTTTTTAACACATAAGATTTTTTTAAAAAGGGTGATCTATATAAGGACGCTCAGCTAGACGATTACTAAGCAGCAGGTGTGTGCACCGCTGCGATGATATCATCATGCGGTACCCCTCGTCCGTATCCGTTCCACAGTGTCCATCCATGCTTAGAAATAACTGCAATTGATTAGTAGCTAGCTACAGGCCATTCCATTCGGCAGGAAAGATTTGCTACTTCCCGTATCCACCTGTGGAGGCAGCCCAGAGGGTGGCTTCTCAATCATGACGATATTAAATACTTCGCAGCTGCCCCTCGGCTTGCCCCTCTTTCTTGCCTTTTGCTATAGACGGTCCTAGGACAGCGGATTTCTTTCTTACAACTGATCGAGTTTCTTAACTTTGGAGTTACTAGCAATTCTAGACAGCTTGATTCCCTCTCTATCGTCTGTCTGAACAATGGCTCCCAAGGTCCTGGTTGTCCTCACTTCTCAGAATACGATCCCCAAGACCGGCCAACCGACCGGTTGGTACCTGGTACGTAGCATCTGTCTGCATCAATCATTCTCTTGATCACCTCTCTCTCTTTCTCTCTCTAAACCGAATTGCTGACGAGTCAGCCCGAATTCGCCCACCCCTGGCATGTTCTCCACAACAAGGTCGACCTGACCATCGCCTCCCCCAAGGGCGGCGAGGCGCCCCTCGACCCGGGCTCGATCAAGCCGTTCGAGAATGACGAGATCGCTGTCAACTTCCTGAACACCCAGCAGGCGCTGTGGAAGAACACCCACCGACTAGCCGACATTGTGCCTCGCGCGGGCGAGTTTGATGCCATTTTCTACGTCGGTGGACATGGACGTAAGTCCAACCAACCAGCATAATGATTGAGGATAGTTGGTTGACACCCTTCTCTCTTCTCTTCCAGCAATGTTCGACCTCGTCACCGACCCGACCTCCCTCGCACTCATCCAGACCTTCGCCTCAGCCCGCAAACCCGTCTCGGCCGTGTGCCACGGCCCCGTGGTCTTCGTCAACGCGACAACACCGTCGGGCGAGCCCCTGCTCAAGGGCGCCCAGGTGACGGGCTTCTCGAACGACGAGGAGAACCAGGTGGGCATGATGGATCCGATGCCGTTCGCGCTCGAGACCGAGCTCAACCGCGTCAGCGGCGGCAACTACGTCAAGGCCGACCAGCCGTGGGGCGCGAAGGTCGTCGTCTCCAAGACCAATTCCCTAGGAGGACCCTTGATTACGGGTCAGAACCCGGCTAGTGCGACGGGCGTTGCGGAGGAGCTCCTCAAGGCGTTGGGTCTGTAATTACGGAGTAAAATCAAGAATGAAATACGATATATGTATGTACTGTACGAAGATTGGTAAATAGGATGAATTTATGACTTGAAGACAAAACAAAACCTAGATTACGTAGTATATTACCAGTTCAATCATTGCAATTAATAGGACTATCTAAGACCACAGGTCAATGTCTATCTTACAGCAATTCGATTGCATTGAATTATTACTCTATCTGATAAACAAGTCCTCAATCCAGAACGGACATCTATCTAGAGGTATCTTGGATTCACAGACAGACAGACAGATAAACAGGTGACATGTGCCGCGCATCCCATGCCATACCAAACCATACCAAACCATACCAAACCATATCATACCTCGCCAGTCAAAAGTCTATGAACTTTCCCAACATGTAGCCCATGTACCTTTTTTTTTTCAAGAAGAAAAAGAGGGACAGAAAACGCGATCATACAGTCCCGTCTGAAACAGGATGAATCCCCGTGACAAGTCAAGATACAAAATGCGAGATTTCGTCGCAGAGACGCAAAACAAGATTAGCTGCGAGACTCCTCCTTCTGCAGGTCGGCCGCGACCATCTCTTCGACCGCCTTCATGCCTGCCTCCTCGCTGCGCTTGGAATCAGCCGGGTCGTCACCGACAACGCGCTGGTCCAAGGCCAGCTTCGTCTGTCCAAGAGCGTAGATCTGTTCCTCGATTGTTCCTTTTGTGACCAGTCGGATCACCTCGACTTCGCGTGTCTGGCCCACTCGATGGGCGCGGTTCTCCGCCTGCACGTCCTCCTGCGGATTGAAGCTCGAGTCGAAGATGATCACCTTGTTCGCACAGGCCAGATTGATGCCAGCACCGCCGGCCTTGGTTGAGAGCAGGAAAACAGGAATGTCAACCTTCTCGTAGAACGCGTCCAGGATCGACTGCCGATCCTCCACGCTGGTGCGCCCATCCAGTCGGAAAAATCCCATGTGCAGTGTCTCGAGGACGTATTCAAGAATGTCCATCACCATCGTGAACTGCGAGAAGATCAAGGTCCGATCACCGTTCGCCTTGAACTTCTTGAGCAACTCGCAAAGCTTCTCAACTTTGCCCGAATGCATCCACTCCTCATTCTTCAGCGCGAATTTGCCCAGAGAGTTGGGATTGTTCACGCACATGGTGTGACATTCAAAGTCGTTGTATGCCTGCAACTCTTCAAAGATGATATCAGGATCGGACTGTGACCATTGCTCCTCCTTCAGGCACGCCTTGGCCATGCGACTCAGGGTCGTGTCATCGTAGATGCGGCGTTTGAGCAATGGATGAATCGCCGCCTGACGTAGTTTCATCAGGATGTTGGCCGACTTGTTTCCGGTCCTCTTCCCCGCTGCCCGATCGGCAAGAAGCTGTCTAACTTCCTCCTTCTCCTGCTCATAGATCTCCTTCTGCGTCTCGTTCAATTCGCAATACTCTACACGAGAAATCTTCGGTGGCAAATCAATGACTTGGTGCTTCTTCCGGCGCAACACGAACGGCGCGAGCATCGATTTCGCCCGGGCGATGCGTTGCGCTGACAAAAGAGTGGAATGAGATTCAGACGCGTCGACAGCCTTGGCTTTATTCGCAAAGATATTCTGCAGATCTTCCTTCTTTTCTTGAAAGACCTTGGGCAGGATAAACCCCAGCAGAGAAGCCAGTTCTTGCAGGTTGTTCTGCAATGGCGTTCCGGTGAGGAGGAGTCTGAACCGAGCAGGGATCCGTATCAATTTCTCGTACAACACCGATGTGCTGTTCTTCAGCATATGACCCTCATCGTACACGCAGACACAGAAATCGAGGTTCCTCAGAAAATGTGCATCGACCTTGGCTTTCGCAACCGTGTACGTGGTGATAACGACATTGATGCTGTCCCGGTTCTCTTCAATCGTCTCTCGAATCTCAGCCCTTTGCTCTTGACCTGCGTAGTATGGCATGACCGAAAGGGTGGGACAGAATTTCTGGAATTCCCGAAGCCAGTTCTCCAGTGTCGATGATGGCACGACGACGAGATGGGGTCCCTTGATGCCTTTCTCATATAAATGTGCGAGAAATGCGATCACTTGGCAGGTTTTGCCAAGACCCATGTCGTCTGCCAAAATACAGCTGAGCTCCTTTTCAAAAAGGAGAGACAGCCAGTTGATTCCGACAATCTGATAATTTTTCATTGTCAAGTTCTCGCTCATGATCGATGGCTGAGAGATGAAGCGATTTTTGCGAGGACCCTTTGCAATGGTGTCACTGTCTTCGTCAGTAGGCGGGGTTGCTGGAGTGCCAATCCCGGAATCATGGTCCAGGGAGACGAGCTCAAGTTCAGCGTCCTTCTTCCCAAAGATGTCCACGCCCCATTTCTTCATCTCAGCAGCTATCGGCTTTCCCAGGGCCTCGCAGCGCGCTACCAACGCATCAACGGCTTCATACCCGGTCCACATGTCCAGACATTTGTCAACGATCTTGTCTCCGATAGGCTTCTTGGTTTTTCGACCCCGTCCACTCTTTGGCTGAGGCTCATCGTCACCCATGACATTTCGCACAGCTTCTAAAGTCGAGAAAGGACGGTGTGCGATGATCGTGGACGCAGCTTGCTCAGATGTGGCAGCAAGATCCGCGAGCTCTGTGACGGTGCAACTATTAATGAACTTGAGAACCTTTGTTTCCAATTCCCCATCGTCTTCCGACGGCTCTTGGTCGCTGTTCGAATCGGAATCATCTGATATGATCACCGCCTCTGGAGACTCTGATCGCTGTGACCTGGGCCTCTTGCCTCTGACAAGTCGGCCTAGTGGTTTCGCTGGGGGCGTTTCGGCGCGTGGGGTGCTGACAGGAGAAGAGACTCGGTTCCTGGATCCCCGGATCAGACGCCGCCTGGGTTTGGACTCATCCAGGGTAGCCTGCCTGTCCCTTTGACTCTTCTGAAGGCTGGACCATTTATCTTGAATTTTTGTCTGCGCCTTGATCTGTTGCTTGGCAGGAGCCACAGGCGAGGGTTTGCGAGCCACGATCAATTCGTCGTCAGATAATGCGACAGTCGCTGGTTCTTCCGTGGCAGCAAGGTGTTCCAGTGCATCTTCATAACTGCCACGTTTTAACATAAGAGCCTCCATGATTTCACGAACGGACTTTTGAGGCATGATTGTCAAGATCCTTTTAACCTTGACCTTAGTCTGGTAGTCATCAATGTCGTCAATCGAATTGATCTCAACCTCGACAGGTAAAGCGCGGGAAGAAGTGTACTGTCGAGGCTTTTTCGGAGATCCGCCATCTGACGCCCCATCCAACTGGGAGATCGTTCGTTTGGCAGTGCCATTCGTCGGTCTATAGATTGCTGAAGACGTAATCTTTTTGAACCTCTCCAATCCGCTGTTTGTGTTCACTGGAGATTCCATCACCTTGTCGGGAACAGGGCTTCGCGACGACTTGGTAAAAGTGGCGGGCTTGATATCCGTTGACCGAGAATTCTGCACGTCCTCGTCCGAAGATCCGCCACGATACGTCGGCCCGTCATCATCCAGGTCTATCGCCGGCGGTCGCTTCGTAGGCCGTGCAAATGTCGAGGGCGGACGAAATTGAGTGCCGCTAGGGGCCATGGCATTGGATAACACTCCGCCGCGTTGGGAAGGACGAGATGGAGACGACGAAGGAGCCAAAGGGGAGGTTGCGGCAACCTGGACGGTGGATTTTTGATCGGAAGATCTTTCGATGATTTGGGTAGGCTGCGTGAGACGCTGAGAAGCAGAGGGCGGAGTCTGTGTTTTGAGAGACTGATTTTGAATGAGAACAGTGGCTACAGTTTCATACTCGGCATCGTCATCCGCGACACTGCCAGCAGTGTTCTGGATCGACTGAGGGTTGCGAATAGGAGTCTCCGGCACGGAATCCTCCATCTTGCGCAGATTAGATTTAGAAACGAGTCATGGCATCGAGCCTGAAAAAGGAAGTATTAGAGAGTTGAACAAAGTTGGAAGAAAGCGCGAACCTTGGAAAGAGAAGAGTTGAGTTCAAGACCCCGACCCCGGAATAAAATCCATCATGCCCGCGGCTGGGCCATCTGCAAGTTTTAGCGCGATCTAACGCGCCCGCGCGCCTCTCAGTCACGTGTGGCCCATTAAACCCTGCCAAAAAGGGAATATCATTCACTGACTCGAAGGATCGACCAATGACCAGCGCAGCAGACAAGAACAAAAGTGAATGGAGAGTCCTGGTTACGAGAGGCATATGTTGGGAAGTGAATACTCCTCCAATAGGCTTTTGAAACAGCCACAAGTGAAGATAATGGATTTATGCAGATGAGACCAGACACCCACTTCGATATCACTATCATGCTTTTGACTTGGACAAGCTGTAAATTGACGGCGCCAAAAATGGCTGAAATATTACACCGCTATCTACTTCTATCCTCTATGTACAAGAAACCAATGCGATCGTACCTCTGTGCAGATCGCGGGGTATGAAATGAAAAGGAAGTGAGTCCATATCCCAAAAAAAGTTAACACCGTAAAATGCAACCTCATCCTTCCAGGCTATGCATCGTAAAAAGGAAATGAAACCCAAAGACTCTCAGTGGAAGAGAAGGCAAATGTAGATGGGCAAGGCGTGAGTAAAAAAAAAATAAGGCAAAAGGTATCTTTAGACAGCAATGCCTGCATCCTGTTGGGGGTTGAGTGTCGGTGCGGACAGATCAACTCCAGTCTCAGGCTTTGGGTTCGACGCTGGACTTGGGATTGAGTTCGTCCGTATGGGACCGGAACCACTGGCAACGGGCGAATTTTGCTTGGGTCTGCTCATTTCGCCCCCTGCAGCCCTTGCTGATTCGTTATTCTCCATCGCATTCTGAACTGCAGAGGTTCGAACGTCGTCATCGCTGCTGATAGTTGCCTTCTTATCCAAATTCATAATCTTGTCTACCTCTTTCGCGGTGGGGAGAAGATCATCAAATTTGAGGAGACGGCAAGCGTCCGAATAGTTTTTGGCAGACTTGGCGTCCTTGAATTCCTTGTTTTTCCCGGGAATCAAGATGTTGAGAAGGTATTTTGTGTTTCCCCAACGATTTTCACACTGCAAGCACGCCTCCATATAATCGTGGACGACTTCGCGCCACGGAAGAAGTCCACCCTCGGCAGCAGTACGGAAACACGAAGGGTTGGATTCTGCAGCTGTCGCAATCATGGCACCGTCAACACCATACTCCTTCATCAGCGCGAGAGCTTCATCGCGGGAAGTCACATCCCCATTCATGACACAAGCCACACCTGCCTTTCGACAAATCGAGGCAATCATGGGAAGCTGATCACGGATGGCACGTTCGCGGGGCCGCATAGGGGTCGTGCGGCAATGTACGGTCAGACCAGTAATTCCAGTGGCGCAAAGGCGTGTCACGAGTTTTTCTGTTTCCTCCGGTTTCTCGAGGAGGCGAATCTTAACTGAAATGCCGATCTGATACGGATTCCCAACTTCGCGTACAAGGGCCTCAAGGATGGAGACGAGTCTGTCTGGATCCCGCAGAAGTGCTGCGCCCATTCCTCCACTCGTGCTGAATGGCTTTGGACAGCCCGAATTGACATCGATCCCTGCAACATCGGCGGCCACGACTTTTGCCGCTTGCACAGCCAATTCCGGTGATGCGGTTCCGATCTGAAAGATCAATTTCCCCTTTTCTCGCACAGGATCAATGCGGTATATGACAGACTCTTGGGTGGCCTTCTCAGATCTGCCTCCATTCGACGGAAGACGGGTGAATTCGATGGTTGAGTTGCGCGGGTTGATACGACGGGTAGTGCCGATGAGAGAACGATCGACCGTTTCCGGTCCCCAGACCAGATCAGCACCGTATTTGAGGGCGAGGAGACGGGATGGTAGCTCTCCTGAGCGGACCATTGGAGCCAGGACGACTTTCCCGCGATAGTCGACCCCGTTGGCGGGGATAGGAACGCGAGGCGGCGATGAGAGCGAAGCCATGGCGCTACGGAGAAACCGAAGCATAGCACCACGGGCGGGGGCCCTGTCCAGGCGACACACTCCCTGATGGGATACGCACCAGGTCTAAAACGCTCTGGCAGATGATAGTCCCGCGAGATATAAAGAAAGAGTAGGAAGATGCAGTTGAAAAGGTAACCTAAGGCGCGGAAAGATGAAACCGCAAAGGAGTGAAAATCAAGGTCACGTGGCGATAGAGAGATAAGCGAGGGGCGGCTTGCCCGCTTCAGTATTTTCTTCTGAGCTTTCTCCCCTGTCGCCGCTGTGCGCCACCACGTCTGCAACCACTGGTACTAGGCCGGTCTCGTTTAGAAAGTTTGGAATTAAATATCTAAGACGACTTTCAAAATCTCCCAGCTTATCTAGAGGAGCTTTGCTGTAATTTCGCGTCATGATGGGACGGATGTGCTACCACCTACATACTCTGTACTATACCTAGGTTCTGCAAGTCAGTCCTGCACTCACTGAATATGAGAGCAGGAAGAACAAGTCGATGCCCGTTCAATGTCATTATGAGTAACAAAAACATAGAATAATCGCATTGTCTTGAGTTGCACCTCGTCGTTATTGAATCGCCCTTTCTATGGGCATATATCCCGGTTGGTCAGAAGTGCCACTGGCCGATATCGGCCCTCAGAACAGAAGTTGAGGTCAGATGGCAGGGGGGAAAAAAGGTTGTGAAAGAGTGCGTCTGCTTAAGCCCGTCGTCAATGATATTATTATCTGGTCCTACGGAAGCAGCGTTGTCCAACCTCGTCTCTGTAAACTTGACTGGCAGAACGATACACATATATATGCAAGTACCATCCCGGATGCAATATGGACACGTGAGCACATTCTACCGCGCATTGTCCACCTAGCTGGGCGCGGGATGAAAGCAGAGCTTCCTGGATCCAAAAAGAATATCCTTTCCTTCCAGATAACGATATATTGAGCTGGACAGGAGTCGGCATAGCTATGGGAGCTGTACGGACTGCCGGGGCGGGCCAACTCGGCGTGCTGGACTGGCAGCGGGGCCGGATCGCCCGCCAGCCCGAAACGTGGCTGTCTTTGCTTTGAACCAGCCGAAAAAATTTCCAGGCCTGACGACAGCTGTTTTCAAGCCAGACCGAACTCTAACGGGAGGACCAGAACAACAGGCCAAAGCAGACAAACTCAACCGCCCACTGCGGAACCAGAAGGTGGAAGTCAGGACGCATAATCAAAATACCTAAGACCTAATACCTCGGCCTCACGGCGTGCAGCCACCGCGAACAGTCCCGGTCCGAGGGCGCTGGCAGTAATCCTCAGGGCCTTCATTCTAGACCTGGTGAAACCCATTATTTAAACCGGACCCAAACCAGACCAAACCACCGCATCCCCATGTCCCCTGCTGCCACGTCCGCTGCGTGTCTGCGTCTGACCCAATTGGCGTCTGCTGGAGCTCCCTTAACCCGCTGCCTAGGAACCGCCCGCTGTTGTTTGCCCACCCTGGCGCCCCCCACCGCTCGATCCCTCTCCTCTCGCCCGCCCCTCTCCCCCTCCCCCTCCCCCTCCTCGCCCTCTTCGTCTTCTTCAGCTCCTTCGTCTGCTCTGTCTTCTGCGCCTGGCATTGCACGTAGCGTGTCTGCTTCGACGACGGAACGTGCTGCCCTCCTCTCCAGACACTTCTCGTCCACTGCTCCCACACCGTCATCGCACACAAATCCTTCCACCATGTCGTACTCCGTCCGCAAGGTTGGCCAGCCCAACACGCTGGACTTCCGTGCCTTTATTGAGAAGGATGGCGTCCCGATCTCTCCGTTCCACGATATCCCTCTCTACGCCAACGAGCAGAAGACCATCCTGAACATGATTGTCGAGATCCCCCGCTGGACAAACGCCAAGGTGGAGGTATGGCAGAGCCGTCTGGGAGAGAAGCCCTCGGGGCCTCTCCGTATCTTAATGTTTCATAAAGACAAGAATCATGTGCTAATGCTCTGTCCAGATCTCCAAGGAGGAATTCCTCAACCCCATCAAGCAGGATGTCAAGAAGGGCAAACTCCGTTATGTGCGCAATTGCTTCCCCCACAAGGGTTACCTCTGGAACTACGGTGCCTTCCCTCGGGTGAGTGATCGATGCACCTTTTCGTTTTGCTCTGGCAGAGAATAAAGCCAAAAGGGAAGCTCAATTGCTGACCTTTCTCAGACCTGGGAAGACCCCAATGTCGTCCACCCCGAGACCAAGGCCAAGGGTGACAACGACCCCTTGGATGTTTGCGAGATTGGTGAGCTGGTTGGCTACACTGGTCAGATTAAGCAGGTCAAGGTTCTGGGTGTGATGGCTTTGCTGGATGAGGAGGAAACCGACTGGAAGGTCATTGTCATTGATGTCAACGACCCGTTGGCGCCCAAGCTCAACGACATCGAGGATGTTGAGCGCCACCTGCCCGGTCTCCTCCGTGCCACCAACGAATGGTTCCGTATCTACAAGATTCCTGATGGCAAGCCCGAGAACCAGTTCGCTTTCTCTGGCGAGTGCAAGAACAAGAAGTGAGCAGTCTCCCGTGCGTTTGATTTGTTTATTACGCGGCTAATAAGATCATCCTAGGTACGCCATGGAGGTGATCCGGGAGTGCAACGATGCTTGGGAGAGACTCATGACTGGCAAGACTCCTCGTGGTGACATCAGCCTGTAAGTAGTCTAGCCGGATTTCGACCTGACCCTCTCCGCAGGAAGGGGGGAAAGATTATTGCAGAAAGCTAATGCGAAAACTAGTGCCAACGTCACCAACGAGAACTCCCCCGACCGCGTCGACCAGGCCCAGCTCGCCAAGATTCCCCCGGGTGAGAACCTCCCACCGGCTCCGATTGACGGCAGTGTCGACAAGTGGTTCTTCATTTCCGGCGCTGCTGTTTAAACAGCTTGCTTGCTCAATTACCCTAATGAGCGCATACCCTGCTCGTCTCATTTGCGATATCAATTTTGTATTGAGGTCTTTTTCTCCCCATTTCGGTCGTGCATCTACAGCGCGCGTTTATACCTCTTCGTGCCTATAGGTTACGGTAGATTCGATGACTATCGACTGCCTGTAAAAGAAGGTAGATTCGATGGATATTCCTTGTCTCACCTTTTTTCCAAAAGGGGCTGGAGTCTGTTCATGTTCCATTATCATGGAGAATTGATAGTGGTTAGATAAAAATGAAAACGAAAACCAAGAAATTAATCCCAATTGAGCGCTAGCGTGGACAATTTTTATATGAACGATAGTAATGCAATATTGGAAAAGTAAAATCCTGACAAGCGACATCATGTCATGCAGGTGAATATTCAGAAGAACGCTAGATACATGAACAAAGAGGCGGGAAAAAAAATAAATAAAATCTAGTATACATTGATATCCACATCACGCCGCGTCATTTTTCTCCATGTTGTAAATAATTGCAAGTCATATTCGGAGCTCTCGCAAGGCATGGGCACCTCCCAACCACGGTGTCCATTTATATAAGTATGGGGTCCTCTATGCAAAACCAAGTCTTGCGAGGGATGTAAAGTCAATGCGAGATGACTCGATCTTGCATCTCGGCTTTGGAATTTGCTTCTCTTGGCCATTGGTATTGGAAAGGGGTCGACACGCAGCATTGTCCAGCTCCCTCACTAGCAGCCAAGAACACCTTGCGCAAGGCCATACTTTATACAGCATTGGAGAAGAAGAAGAAGAAGATGATGATGAAGACATCAATTACCCTTCAGACTCTCCTCTCTCTCTATGAGTCTCCCCACTCGCGAGATCTCATCAACCACATCCCCGATCTTCATCTGCCGCTTCCCGACCTCGAGCTTGATCTCCTTCCCGCCCTTGAAACCGACTGTTATCTCCGGAAGCTGCGTCGAATTTCGCGGAAGATGTGTGACTTGGATGTCGATGTGTGCCGCGCTGTTGGCGGGCGCAGTTGTTGGGTTCTGCAGGAGATTGAGGGCGAGGCGACAGGGCCGGGAGAGCCGAGAGAAGGGAGAGAAGGCGGTGCGGAAGTAGGTGATTGTCTGGACGGGAATCGTCATTTTTGATATGATAGAGTGTATTGATGCGGTAAAGAGAGGCTCCAGCAGGTATTTTAAAGAGATGGTAATCTTCTGTGATAGAAAGGCGTCTTGTTAGTATCGTGCATATATATCATTCGGCGGCGCTGGCGATGTTGAACTGAAGTAATTATACCTGAGAGATGGCATGATAGAACTGTAACACCAAGCGAGGTGACACTTACCGATTGCCTCGAGGAAGACAGGGTTAACAACAATTCTGGAGCCTATAATCACACTTGCTACCTGCGCACCCCGGAATCGATGCTTCTAACGGAGATGTCGCGGCTCGAGTTGTCCAGGCGGGACGAGCAGGATAAACCAAGGAGACGTCAGCGGGATGCCAATTCACTTGAAGAATGGTAACAAACTGGTACAATGGCAGCTAGCTCTCAAGTCCTGCAATCCTAGAGCTCAATTTAATCGGTATAGTTATAGCTGATCTAACCGGCCCTCCGATGCGGCGGACACGGAAACTTTTCGGGAGAGGTGATAATGTTTGCTCGGGTTGCAAACATATTCCTGGTCCCCGTAACATTACGAGTCCAATCCGCCGACGACGCTTGTGGACAGCTTGGTGTATGCTTTCCACGTTTTCCCATGCATGAGCAGCAAGCAACTCATGCGGTTATTCACACTCTTTGACGGTTGACCTCCATATTTGGGTATGTGATATTTTACACATGAATCTGTCAGTGGTTATTCAAGAGAGAAATTCTCGCCATTAGAGCTACGCTATCTCCATTTAAAGGAATCCGCGGTCTGTTTCTAGACGAATAGCGATCGGACACTCGGGGGCACAATGTCCTCCACCCACGTGCTACAAACGCGCCTGAAAGAGGTCTCTGCGTCCCTTAATGAGATCCATACGCTTGTGACTCGATTAAAAAATTTCACTGCAGCTATCGGGCAAGGCGATGAGGCCCGCCTGGAGCTCGGGGCGGAGATACACTCCCGGCTAAAGGAAGCTGAAGAGGAGATGGAGCTCCTCAAAGTTGAGGTGGAAGTTTTGGAAAGTACCGGAACCAGCAAGAGGAAAGGCGGCGAGAATGGAGAGAAGGACGCAGAGAAGAGAAGGGTGATTGGACTGGCGGAAAGGTTAACGGAGGAATTGAAGAGGTTTGTTTTATCACTTCGTGGTTGTCGTCTGATGGCGGACTTGCGGTCTTCACCTGTAAGTCCGATATTCTTGTATTTATGACTGACATATTTGGTCTCTAGGACGAGGGTAGAGTTTCGCGCCGCACAACTGCAAGCTAACCGCAATGCGGAGATTGCCCGCCGAAAAGAACGAGAGTTGTTGCTCGCAAGACCTCGAGACGGTGGAGAGCGTCAGAAGCCTTCCGAAAAACTTACGCACGATGATTTGGTGGTCAACGCATCGAGTGATGTCACCGCGGCTCTTAGGAGGACGCATCAGCTGATGCAGGCGGAGCTTTCGAGAAGCCAATTTGCGCAGGAGACCCTGGGTTAGTTTTCTTCAAAAATAGTGGCAGCGGTGTTGTATGCGGATCTCCGCTGACATCGGTCAACAGAACAGTCAACCGCTGCGCTTTCCTCTCTTTCAGAATCCTACAGCAATCTTGATACCGTTCTCTCCTCATCTCGTGCCTTGGTCAACTCTCTCCTCCGTTCTCAGAAGTCAGATACGTGGTATCTCGAAACGGCATTTTACATATTAATTGGCACAATCGCATGGCTAGTGTTTCGCCGAATATTGTACGGCCCGCTCTGGTGGCTTGTCTGGCTGCCGTTCAAGATGGCCTACAGGTTTGTGGCGTCTGTAATAGGCGTGGCTGGCGCGACGGGGGCGGTTTCTTCCACCTCCGCCATCGTGAGCGGCACCGTAACCATAGGAATTCCAACAGTCGCTGGCACAGACGCTCCGAAGTATGTAGTCGGAGGAGGACAGCCTCCTGGGATGTTGGATCAAGACACTGCTTCTACCGTGCAACCCGATGACAGCATGGTCGAGAAGATCGGGCGAATGGTAGAGGAGAGTAGAGAGGAACAAGTGGCATCGTCTGAGGAAACAGTGGCCCAAGATGTTCCTCAGAACCCGAAGAAAAGAATGTGGGAAGAAAATGTAGACACGATCAAGAAAGATGAGTTATAGATACCCAACAAATGGAAGATGCTAGTCGCCTAGAACAGGGGCAAATAGAAATAGGCAGTAGAAAACGGGAAGTATACTGTAGGCTGACATAAACATCTACCTCCATTGACAAACATTCCTTTTATCATGGACATAAGAGGTATACATATCTATCTTATCAGTTGAAAGTCGGAGCTCCTCTCGGAGCGGAGATCTTGGCATTCCATTTTGGGCGTAAAGTGGTTTCGCGCATCACGTGTAGACGCGTCGCATTGAGGATTGCTGGATAGGTTATTTCATCATTTGCTATTACTCGCTGTAAGGTTCATGATATTCGCGCAACTACCTTTTTTTTTCCCGTTCAGTTCAAGCTTTCCAAATTCCAAAATTGAGAGATATTATTGAATTGTTCTTATAAGATTTGCCATTGAATCGAAAAGATGTCAATGGCGGCTAATTTTTTCAACAACAAGGCGCGTGCTGCCGCCGCCGCAGCTGCCGCCAGCAGCTCAAAGCCGAAGACGGCCGATAGCAAGGAGGATCAGACGCGTCTACAACCGTGGGTTGAGAAATAGTACGTTTGTGTTGTGTTCTGTGATTTTTGTTGTCGAGAATTAGAATTTATCTAACCAAGACTGTCTGGGTTATAGCCGTCCGAAATCCCTCGATGATGTCGCTGCCCAAGATCATACCATATCGGTCCTTCAGCGGACTTTGCAAGCTTCCAATGTACATACATCTTCCTGCATTGTTTAACTTCTCTTCAACGATTGCTAAAGCGTCTATAGCTCCCTCACATGCTCTTCTACGGCCCTCCAGGAACCGGCAAGACATCTACCATCCTTGCGCTGGCCAAGTCCCTCTTTGGCCCTGCTCTCTACCGCACGCGGATTCTCGAACTGAACGCATCCGACGAACGAGGAATCAACATCGTACGAGAGAAGATCAAGGACTTTGCGCGGACTCAATTGACGTACCCAACGGGACTGGACGCCGAGTACCGGTCCAAATATCCCTGCCCACCGTTCAAGATCGTCATCCTCGACGAAGCAGACAGTATGACGCAGGACGCACAGTCTGCATTACGTCGGACCATGGAGCAATACAGCCGCATCACGCGGTTCTGTCTTGTTTGCAACTATGTAACGAGAATTATCGAGCCCGTGGCGAGTCGATGCAGTAAATTCCGCTTCAAGGCGCTGGATGGCGTTGCAGCTGGGGTCAGATTGGAGGAGATCGCCAAGGCGGAGAAATTGAAACTCGAAGACGGCGTCATCGACACGCTGATCAAGTGCAGTGATGGCGACCTTCGACGAGCAATAACATATCTGCAGAGTGCAGCCAGACTGGTAGGGGCGCCTGGCGCATCGGGTCACAAGGAGGACGGGGATACCGAAATGGCCGACGCAGACAGCTCATCTTCGCTCATCACCGTCAGAATGATTGAAGAGATTGCGGGCGTTGTCCCGGAGAGCGTGCTCGACCGGTTAACGCAGGCCATGCAGCCGAAGAAGATGGGATCAGCATACGAGGCGGTATCGGCCGTGGTAAACGACATAGTCGCAGACGGATGGAGTGCGACCCAGATCTTATCTCAAGTATGGCTTCCCGCTCCCCAGAAAGAAGGAAGAAGTGCATCACACTACTAACACTAGCAACATAGTTATATCGACGAATCGTCTACAACGACGCAATCCCCGACATCCAGAAGAACAAAATCGTCATGGTGTTTTCAGAAATGGACAAACGGCTGGTTGACGGGTCGGACGAGCATCTTTCCATTCTTGACATGGCGTTGAGGATTTCCGGAATTCTTGGTTCATGAGTTTAGGTATTCTTTTTTCGTGTGTGTATGTGTCGATGAGTTTAATGAAAAATGAAACAGAAGAACAAGAAGGGAAGAGAGACATAATTAGGCGTAATGAATACCCGCATTTATATTACCATTGTGAGAGTTACTTAATTCTATGGGATAGAAAGGGTACCCCCAAAAAAAATCAAGAAACTGCTTTCGATTTGTATTTTTTTCTTTTTCCATTTTTAGTAACTAGTTACTGATGTATTCATGAAAGGTAAAAGAGAAACGAAGAGATAGAATGGGTGGAAAAACTTGACTAGCAGCAAACATTATTTTTTTTGTTTTTAATCAGGATATAGAGATTCCAGTTCCAGTTACTGATTCCAAATCACTCTTTCTTTTGGGCGTTCTCTCCTTTCTTATCCAATGATAATTGTGAGGAAGGGGGTTCATTCATCAAATGGGGGCCATGGTAATGGGAAAACCGATGAGAGAGCAAAGGGGGGAAGAAGAGAGAAAAAAAAAGTGATTAAATGAATAAAAAAAAGACAGAAATAGTTCAATGTAAATGTTCAAATGCAGATGGCGAGTTAAACTATGGAGGAGAGTAGATGGGAGAGTAGATAAATGTAGATAATGATCAACTTGAGGCACAATCTGTATCAGATTGCGTAGTTGTCGAAATGGAACCATTCGGTTCAATTTTTTGTGACGCTTGTCGCTCATTGTTTTTGTTTCGCCAATTTCTTCAATCATGTCCTTCTTAGTCTTGGGACATTTTTCGTCAATGTCCATCTCTTGCTGATGTTCAGCTTCTCTCTCTTCATAAATGCATTGCTGAGGCTCATTGCTCTTTTCGTCAAGAGTGGTGATCTCCTGCTGATGTTCCTGGCATTCTTCGTCGATGTCCATGTCATGCTCATGTTCATCATCGCTGTCTTCGCCGATGACTTGCTGTGGCTCATGGTTCTCTTCACCAAGGTCCGTGTTTAGAGGAAGCTCTTCTTCGTTCTTCTCGCAGATGCCCATGGTTTCCTGGTGTTCATTGCTCTCTTTACCAACAATGCCTTGCTGAGATTCAGACTCTTTGCTCCCTTCACGCGCGTAAACCCACGCCACGGACTTGACCCAAACCTTTGATCGTTCCAGTTTGTTATCTTCTTGGTCGACCCAGTGTGCAACAATAGCGGGTTTCATAATGACCATAACACGCAGTCCAGTGAGGTTCTTGTGCTTGTGGCTTTCAATGCCCGTTGCATCTTCTTCAAGCGCAGTATATAGCTCCATGGCTGGCGATGCAGGATCGAAAGTCGAAGGAACGAGATCTGAACCAAGATAGTAACATTTCACTTCGACCACTCGATACCAGAGCTGAAAGCTCAGCTCCCTGTAACGTTTGAGTATACTAATCAACTCGTTCCTCCGCTTGCATATTTCCTGGCCATGTACCTCCTTGAGCAGAATGTGTGCTGGACTTGCCAAAAACTTTTCTGCCAGTGCCTTGGCATGATTATGGTAGTTCTTGAAAGCCGTATTTCCTTTTAGCTGTTTTGCATCTTCCAAATCTGGACTTATAAGGAATTTTGTCGCCTCCAGCAATTTCGAAACCCATTCGTTTGCCCGATACCTGTCCGCTTTTTGGAATCAGTCTTTGTATTTGAAAAGCACGGAATGTAGAAAAACATACTCTCTGCCAATTTTGAAGCAAAATTCATGAATATTTCCTCGAATTCATCCTCACTTGTGTCACTGATTGTCGGAGATGATTTTCCCTTGCTTTCGCGTGGCTTATTAGCCAGTGCACTGTCTAGAAAGAGAAATGGTTTCTCGATAATTTCTGAGCAGATGAAGCTTGACAGCATTCCTTGTAGAAAGATTGTCGAGCCCCTTGGAAGCTTCCTGATAGCTGGAATGTCATCGAGTTCACAGATTTTTCGTTCAGGGTTGTCCTGCATGGACAGGAAGTCTATTTCATCTTTCTTCTTTTTAGGAACTGGGATTTCTCCTGGCAGAGAAAAGCTCTTGACCCATTCACACAGGTCTTTGTATAAGTCCTGAATCGTATTCTCAATGACCATGTCGCTCAACGGAGCCCTGCCTCGTTTACGGGTATTTCGGACAGCTTCTTGGGCCATCGTTTGAACTTCCTTTTTGAGTTCCCTGTTATCTCTTTTCAAATCCCGTATAGCTTTTTGAGACATGCGCTTTCTTTTGGTTCCTCTAGGTTTTGTGCTTGATTTTCTCGCTGAACTTGTGTTCTTTTTTGACTGTGGATGTTGTCCTCTGGGCTTGGGAGCCTTGTCATCATGACCAATTGAACTAGGCTGGAGAATCTCTACAGCAAATCTTGGAGGCTCTGTGTGTACTGTTTCATTCTTTTCTGAGTTCTTTTGTGATTTGTTTTCTCAGCCATAAGAGCGAAGGAGGATTTGTCCATGCCTGCATTAGAGCGAGTGCGCTTCGCGGGTCTTCGAACATCTGAATCTGTCGCCTCCTGATCACTTTCCTTCCTCGGAGTTTAGCTTTGGAAATCCTGAAGACGTAAATACCACTGTACATACTGGACTGTAGGTGTCGTCCGACTCCCCAATATCCTCTTTCGTATCTGACATTTCTTCCTGAGACTTAGTTGACTCGTCAGAAGACATCGTTCTGTTGCGTGAATGTTGGTACGGCAGAAAAGCACAGTCTGGTTGCCGGTGAGGATATAGCAATTTGTACCGAGAAAGAGAACCTGAAGTTGGAATTTGTGTCACTTAATAGGATCTCAAGGTCCTCTTGAGAGTTAATATGAATGCCTCAAACGAGATGAAGAGACAAACTTGGAAGGCTGTCTAAATTTCCAAGCCTCACATGGGAAGAGAAGCTCTGTCTGAAGATGTTTGCTTCTTGTGGTACCAGCTCAGGGGGAAGTGATGGTTTTCTGAGACCGAAGTTATCACTCTCACGATACAAAAGTTCAGGTCAGGTACGTTAGCAACGCTGAGATGGACTGAGCAGGAGAGAAGCCGAGTCAGTGATTATGGAGAGTAAATACGATCATGGAAGATATGCAAAGGAGACAAGTTGGAGATTCTAAGAGGTTCCAATTTAGATAAGAAAGTATACGAATAAGGAAGATGGAGAGTAGACGCGACCTGAGGAAGGAGCATTCGCAGGCAAGGGAAGTTTTCGTCGAGCACGGTCAGGTTAGATATTGAATGCTTCAAGCTTCCTGAGTTAGTCGACCACGATCATGGTTCTATATTTAAAAGAATTATAGTAGAATGGAATTAAAGTCTTGTCACCAGAAAGTAGAACACTGGGCTGGGGATTATCCTGCCAGCCAGCATCCGTTTTACTCTCTTTTATATCTTAATTTGCCTCTTCAAGAGCTCAAACCTAACTTTGAAAACCCTATGAATATGAAGCTTAAAGGCATAGGTCAAGACAGACCTTCTGCATTTGTATAAAAGAAAGCCTCAAAGTAGATTTTCACCAATAAATGATAATGTATATACATAATCCCTAGCTCAACCCTATCATCATCCAACTGTACCAGTTCTGTTAATGTCTACTTCCAACTCTGATTGCGCCCTTGTTTTCAGCGTTCCTGACTCCTCTTCAAGGGTTGGCAAAGGCGGGCTGATGCTGATCTGGGGAGCAACAGGGCTAGTCTCACTGACATGGGAGTTAGATGAAACAGTGTGGTTTCTTCCAGCCTGTTCCGTCTCAATTGTTGGAGAACTAATGTCCATCTGTGGGGTGGTAGGAGACTTGTTTGCAATATCACGACTTTGTCTACTCTTTCCAGCCAAGGATGAAGTCTCGGCATCTGTGTCATACTGCATGAAATTCCAAATGTGCCCTTGGTGAGCTGAATTTCCCACAGACGCATCTTCGTTGAAGAATGAGTTCATGTTCGCTTGGAGGATCACACCGTCCGAAGTCGTGACAGAGGGGGGCTCATCGTTACGGATGGCCTCTTCCTCGTCTAGGCTGTTATAATTGACCCTCCGTTGAGCTGGAATATTGATCAACGATCGCTCCGGCGTTGCAGATAGCTCTGCCGGCACATGAGGGCTTGGGACGTCTGGCAACTCCGGCATCTGAGCAATTGTCCCAGGAAGCTCAGCCCGGCTCGATGGCAGACACTCCTCTTGAAGGTTCGATCCTGAACGTCCCCCGGAAGTACGTAGAGAATGAAATCCAGTTTCCGTGACGCCAGGAGAACCAAGACCCTGTGACGCCTCTGTGCCATTCTCAAGCTTCGTGGCATTATTGTCGGAATACGATTCCACGGGCTCGACTTTGACAGACCTGTGGCGTCCTAGGTGGCACGTCTTGATTAGTTTGGTTCCTCTCAACAGCTCTTCACGAGGAGTACTCACCACCAAACTCTGCAAAAGGGTCTCCTCCACCCCGAGGAACAATGAAACCGTTCTCTGGACCAGTACCAACGGGTTGGGTATCAACCATGACTTCCTCATGGCGGGCACTGCGCCAAGCCGACAAAGGAAACCGTTGTCCAAGCTTCTTTCTTCGACAGCAGCAGAGGAGAAGCAGGGCTATGACTGTGACTCCGATGACACTGCCAATGACGCTTCCAATATCGACACCATTATTATTATCATACACCGGAAAGCTCGAGGGTGGTGGAGTCTGACTAGGAGCAGAGGTAGTAATAACCACAGTAGTTACACTAGTTATACTGTCCAGCACACTAGTTGTCGGAGACACAGTGACTGTACTGTTCGTAGTCACAAATGATACTGTCGTTATACTGCTGGCCAGAAAACTGGTTATGGGCTCAAGAGTCTCTGTCACTGTTGTCGGGGGTTGCTCGTTATCATCAGGACAGATACCAGTATCGCAAGGATCGACAGAACAGCAACCGATATATGGCCCTTTGAGGCAGGTATAGTATTGTAAGCCTTCAGTGCAGGTATTTATTTGCCGAGCCAACCTGACTCGCATGATGCGTGAAGGGCTTTCACAATCAGAAGTATAAAAGTATCTCGAAAGACGGGAAAGAGATCGGAAGTTTGATGCTTGACGAGACTCACTTCCAGGGCTAGACTAAAGAAATCCACTGAAAAAAAAAAGAGAAAGACAAGTCTATGCCCTTGGGAAACAATGAAGATGAAAAGCTTTCTGGCTTCCCAGGGCATACGAGTTCTTTTCTACTAGTGAGGAGCGAGATCCTCACCAAGACCACCGTGGATGACTCTTTCCGTACATGAGAAATCTGGTTACACAGCAGGAATAGGTAGATTTAGACTACTTTGGGGCAAAGCAAACACGAGAGGCAAGTCAATCTGCCTTATCAAACGAGTAGCACAAGGGTGTTTTGGGCTCTGCATCCAGCCGGCCACGATATGCACTGTCCCGTTAGCTGTAACACACGGGGGACGTAGTATGAAGAAGGCAGAAGATGTAAGTGGTTCTTTAGTATCTCACCATTCTTGCAGATTATAGAAGCAAACGGTGAAGACGATCTATTTTGACGAGAAACTAGAATTTCTAGCTGAAAAGGACAAGAGACGACGATTAGAGAACATAAAGCCATGAAGGATTAGGTTGATGATAAGGCCAAGAACCTAGGGGAAGCGATCATTCTATACCGTTCTTTGTCTCGAATCCCTGACACAGAACTCGCTTCGCTCGAGGGGCTTGAAGAGAAAATATCTGGTTATGCCAGGGACTTTGGGTCCTCAGGCCCGTCCACTATTTACATGTATGTATAGTCTTACTCCCTTTCTTGAGAGGCAAACCACTTCCAATATCTCTATCATCAGAAGACTAGAAGCATACACAGCCCTTACCGTGGATTTGTCAACAGGAAAAAGGACAGGAAAAAAGCATCCAGACAAAGAAAAACTCCGATTGTATGAAGACAGACTAAACAAAAAAGTAGTTAACACATCCCTAACTAGTTTGGTTACTACAGGTTGGTTATATACGACAAGCCTGAAAGTCAGAAACCAGAATGGGTTTGTCCCCTCTGAACTGGATTCCAACAAATGAAAGCCTCCGCAGACACCAAGATTGTACCCAATTTCCGAAGACACCGAGAATCCGGTATTGAGGCCCGCTGAGCGTCATCCCTTATGCGCTTTTTGGCAATCTAGTACACACGCTTGAATGGTGGCACAGACTTGCATTCATTCTCGTCCAACGTCTTGGACTGCACGGCACGGTAGCCGATTTCAACCGGGCCGTGAGGCTGCTTCTGCCAAGTCAAGGTGTGCTTCATCCAGTTCTCGTCATCACGTTCAGGGTAGTCCTCACGGGCATGGGCACCACGAGACTCCTTGCGGTTAGCGGCAGCATGTGCGGTTTGCGTACTATAGACAGAGTCAGTCAGCTTTCCAAGTAAGCAAGGGGGGTGGATACATACGCGCAGGTCAGCAGGTTCCTCAGCTCAAGGGTTTCGACGAGGTCAGAGTTCCAGATCATGCTGCGGTCCTTGGTACCAACTTGCTTGAACATGGCGTCAATCTCCTTGATCTTTCTCACACCCTCGTCCAAGCTCTCCTGCGTCCGGAAGACGCTGACGTCTGTCTGCATCGCCTTCTGCATCGCGTTACGAATCTCAAACGTCGACTTGGGACCATCGGCCGTGCGGACAAAGTCGAGGTCCTTGATCGACTGCGCGCCAGCGTCGGGGCTGAGTTCCTTGTGAGGCTTTCCAGGGGACGAGGTATCACGGACACGGTGGGAGACAGCACGGCCGAAAACAACAAGGTCAAGCAACGAGTTGGCTCCCAGACGGTTGGCGCCGTGGACGGACACACAAGCAGCCTCACCGCAAGCATACAGACCAGGAACGACCTTGTCGTTGCCGTTCTCGTCAAGAGTCAACACCTCACCCGTGTAGCGGGTAGGGATACCACCCATGTTGTAGTGAACGGTGGGCAGGACAGGGATGGGCTCCTTGGTGACATCGACACCAGCGAAAATCGCGGCAGTCTCCGAGATACCAGGCAGACGCTCACGCAGCAGCGAGGCCGGCAGATGGCTGAGCTGGAGATAGATGTGGTCCTTCTCGGGGCCGACACCACGACCCTCACGAATCTCCATAGTCATGGCTCGGGAGACGACGTCACGAGAAGCAAGGTCCTTCGCAGTGGGCGCGTATCGCTCCATGAAACGCTCACCCTCCGAGTTCAGCAGATAACCACCCTCACCACGAGATCCCTCGGTGATCAGACATCCGGCACCGTAGATACCAGTGGGGTGGAACTGGACGAACTCGAGATCCTGGTTGGGAAGACCGGCACGGGCAACCATTGCCATACCGTCACCGGTGCAGGTGTGCGCAGATGTGCAGCTGAAGTAAGCTCGTCCATATCCACCAGTAGCCAGGACAGTGTGGTGAGCCTTGAAGCGGTGCAGAGTACCATCCTCCTGGTTGTAGGCGATGATACCTCGGCACTCACCATCTTCCATCAGAAGATCCAGCGCGAAGTACTCGATGAAGTAGTTGGTGTTGTGACGAAGAGACTGGCCATAAAGGGTGTGGAGAAGAGCATGGCCAGTTCGGTCGGCAACAGCACAGCATCGGTAGGCCTGGCCACCCTTGCCGTATTTCTGAGACTGACCACCGAAAGCACGCTGGTAAATGCGTCCATCCTCGGTTCGAGAGAAGGGGCAGCCGTAGCCCTCCAGTTCACGCACACTGGCTGGTGCCTCTCTCGTCATGTAGTGGATAGCATCCTGGTCACCGAGCCAGTCAGAGCCCTTCACTGTATCGTACATGTGCCATCTCCAGTCGTCCTCGTGCATGCTATACAAGCCACGGTTAGCGCCAGAATCCACATCAATTGACAGATAGATGTCCATAATAAACGCACTTTCCAAGAGCGGCGTTGATACCACCCTGGGCTGCGACAGTGTGACTTCTCGTGGGGAAGAGCTTGGTCACACAGGCGGTGTTGAAACCAGCTTCCGCCAGGCCAAAGGCCGCGCGCAAACCAGCACCTCCGGCGCCAACGACGACAGCATCGTACTCATGGTCCTGAATTGATCAGCGGCCGAAGCTACGATCATATGGCTGACGAGGGAGACGTACAATAACCGGGTACTTTTGCGAGATGTATCCAGTGGCCTCCTTTGCGCGAAGCGGCTGGTTTGCGATTATCCGAGCTGTGGTGGATCGGCAATTAGTGACGGGAACAGAGGGCCAATATCATTTCCAATGCGTACCTGCGGGCCGTGTGGATGAAAAAAGACGTCTCTGATTTCTCAGAGCACGAGAGATCTGAAGATTTGAAAGACAGTCAGCATGGAACAGCCGATGGGCAGACGGAGGGGCCATGACGACAGGACAGCAGCTCACTGACCTTGGATGCAGGAGCAAGGCTCCGCAAGCTCAGGGAGCTCATGGTGTCCTAGACGCAGCAATTACAGGTCTGGAACGGAGCCAATTCAGCTAGGGTAACAGAAGAAAGGGGGAAAGCACGAGAGCGGAGAGGAGAGTCGCTGGAGATGAAAGGTTGTATGCTTCGAAGCTGGGCTTTCTTCCGGCTGGCCTGCCGGTTGAGCGAGTGAAGACCGAGGAATGACTTACATAAGCGGTCGTTCCCGTGTTGCCGACGCGAGCAAGGGAAGCCGGAGCAGCCAATCAGAGGCACTGCAGATGTCATCGAGTCGCGGAGAACCGGCGCCGTGATTGGCTGAGGACCGCTCTGAGCACGTGCAGAGGTTCCCTTTGCCGGAAGATGTAGGAAATGCCACAAGCTGGACGCCAGTCAAGACGGCTAAATGTCAACCGAGCCTGCTGGGCGACGGTATCCACGGAGTAAATTCGGGATCAGACCCAGAGATGAAGTCTTATCACACTCCAAATATGATCTGGCGTAAACAAGCAGCTTCTACGGCCGTCGATGAAGCTCGAGTGGGATCATCGCTAGCCCAGCGTACATCTAGACGTAAATTGCTCAAAAGGAACATTATTGGTAATGCCGACTAAGAACTAATAACCCTCGCTACAATTCATATGCGATCGTACATACTCCGTATATTCCGCCCAAGCAGCGCCATCTCTAACCGAACGACCAAAGGAGGAGAAAAGGACAAGCAGCTTAATTGTACTGCATATACGTCGCCGTCGAGTTGAACTTCAGGTTGCCCTTGATCACCTTGTCGACCGCGGCCAGGAAATCCTTCTCCGTCGCTACCTTCCGCCGAGCTCGGATCGCAAACATGCCTGCCTCCGTGGCTACACTGCGCAGCTCTGCACCCGTCGCGTTGGGGCACAATCTCGAGATCAGTTCCCATCGAATGTCACGCTCCACCGACATGCTCTTGGCGTGGATCCGGAGGATGTTAGCCCGGCCCTCCACGTCTGGCAGAGAGAACTCGATCTTGCGGTCAATTCGCCCGGGCCGCATCAAGGCCGGATCCAGAGTAGACGGACGGTTGGTTGCGAACATGACCTTGATGTTGCCGCGCGAGTCGAAACCGTCAAGTTGCGTAATCAGCTCCAGCATGGTCCGCTGAACCTCGTTGTCACCGCCAGCGCCGTCGTCAAAACGGGCACCTCCGATCGCATCGATTTCATCAAAGAAGATGATACAGGCTTTCTTGGTTCGTGCCATTTCAAACAGTTCTCGAACCATCCGAGCACCTTCACCCACGTACTTCTGAACGAGCTCGCTACCAATAACTCGAATGAAGGTGGCATCTGTCCGGTTTGCAACTGCTCTCGCGCAGAGCGTTTTACCCGTACCGGGCGGGCCGTAGAGAAGAGCACCTTTGGGAGGGTCGATACCGAGGTTGACGAAGCGTTCAGGAGACAGGAGTGGCATTTCCACAACTTCCCGCAGCTTCTCAATTTGCTCTTTGCTTCCTCCGATATCTCCGTATGTTACATCCGGCTTGTCTTCAACAGTCATCATCGTCACGCTAGGGTCGATCTTGGGTGGCAGAGGCAATAAGATCTGGTACTTGTTTCGGTCGACACTACATCAAGTATGTCAGTAGAAGTACTGGAGATAGATAGGTCAACGCAAACTTTACCCAACTCTCATGCCCTCTTCAATATCTGTCGGACTGACCCGTTCTCCGAGATTCACGACGAACTTGGCGATCTGTTTGACGTTGATGACATATTTGCTCTTCTCTGGATCCTTCTCATCCTGAATAATCTTCGTGCATCGTGCCACCTGTAGCGGTTGCTCCTCCTGCATACGTTGCCGGTCCGCAGCAACATCCCAAAGATGTGGAGGTGCAAGCCCAGTATCGGATTCCTAGCCATAGAGTCAACCAAACCAATCGTTGTAACGATCGCAGTTGGCGCGTACCTTCACTCCGATCTTCTCATTCACACTCTGCTGTTTCTCTTTGATCTGCTTTTCGAGTTTCTTCAACGCGGCTGCGTAGGGTGCAGCGCCATAGGTCTTTAGTACTTGGATATCGCTGTGTCACACATTAGCCATCACTCCATCCACTGATGTCATCTCTGAGCAAACACTCACTCATCGGTCAGAGGAGTAATCTTCTTCTCGGGAATCTCCTCATCGAAGTTCTTCCGATACTTCTCCCAGTCGGCTCCTGTAGCACTGGGCATGATGGCGGCTGCCGCAGGCTCGTCAAGTAGCTGCAAGTAGGAAACTGTGTGTTCAAGTGTAAAATCAGAAGCTCCTTCAGTGACTTGAGAAGGAGAACAGGTGGCAAAGGTCTTGAGTAAAGAGAGCAGAGAGATGGAGAGGTGTGTTTGGTAATCAAGCTGGAGCTGCGCAGGCGGCCGGGGTTTACGTCGAGCTGTTCCGCACTAGCGTTTGCCAAGCATCTTGACCACCGCCCGATCGACTTTGTGAAATTCAGAACCCGCCTTCGGGTTTTCAAGCTCTCCAGACCAGACCCTCGCCCATTTTATTCCTCTGTCTTTGCAGGTAACACAAACCTTTGAAGACAAGATGGCGACTACTGTGAGCGCCCCATCGGGTGCTGGCAATAATAATGCTTTCAAGGTATGTGTGAAGAAATGTTCTTTCGCAGCATAGTTCGCGGCGGCCAGTTTCTAACAATTTCCAGGACAAGGAGAAGCCTATGGCGGTTCGAACTGCCAATATTCTGGCAGCTAGAGGTTTGTAGTGTCCCATTTGAAAGGACGAGCGTTATTTCTAACTTGAATACAGCCGTCGCAGATGCTATCAGAACGGTATTTCCACACTGGAGTATGGGATCTATTCTGGAAATGAGGGGCTAACAACACACAGTCTCTGGGACCGAGGGGCATGGACAAAATGGTATTTTCGACACAACCCCCCTATCGCTACTATGTATAGGCTCTAACTTCTGTGCAGATTCAAAGTGGGAAGGGAAATACCATCATCGTACGTACCCCGCGTTTCGCCCGCAGAACTCGAGGCTGACCCACCAAGACCAATGATGGAAACACCATGTTGAAGAGTATGAGTGTTATGCATCCCGCAGCAAAGATGCTCGTCGACCTTAGTGCAGCCCAGGATGTCGAGGCAGGTGATGGAACCACGTCCGTTGTGGTCATCGCTGGTAGCTTGCTTGGTGCCGCGGAGCGATTATTGGCGAGAGGTGGGACACCTTCAGGATAGGATATGCATGAGATGCTGACCTCGCAGGTATTCATCCAACGATCATATCCGAGTCCTTCCAGCGAGCTGCAGCGGCTGCTGTTGAGGTTCTCCACAACATGTCACAACCCGTCAACTTGTCGGACCGTGCAAGCCTTCTGCAGGCGGCATCCACCTCCCTCTCTTCCAAGATCGTGTCGCAATACTCCAACCTTCTGGGACCGATTGCTGTGGACTCCGTGCTGAAGGTTGTCGATCCCAAGACGGCTGATAACGTTGATCTGCGCAATATTCGTATAATCAAAAAAGTTGGAGGCACGATTGAGGACAGTGAGATGGTCGACGGGCTGGTACTGAACCAGCCGGTAATCAAGAGTGCAGGAGGCCCGACAAGGATTGAGAAGGCTAGAATAGCCCTTATTCAGTTTCAACTGAGCCCTCCCAAGCCTGATGTCAGTCCTACGCGCCTTTGCTTGTTATTGTTCTTTACTGACGACCCTGCAGATGGAGAATCAGATCGTGGTGAATGACTACCGGCAAATGGACAAGATTTTGAAGGAAGAACGCCAGTATCTCCTCAACATGGTCAAGAAGATTCAAAAGGCGAAATGCAACGTTTTGCTCATTCAGAAATCCATCCTACGCGACGCCGTTAATGACTTGTCCCTCCACTTCCTCTCTCGCCTCAAGATCCTCGCCGTCAAAGACATCGAACGTGACGAGGTCGAGTTCCTCTGCAAGAGTCTCGGATGCAAGCCAATCGCCAATATCGACTCGTTCACTGAAGACAAGCTGGCAACGGCAGATCTCGTTGAAGAAGTCCAGTCCTCTGGTGCGCGCTACACCAAGATCACCGGCATCAAGTCCTCTCCCGCTGCGAACCAGACGGTTTCAATTGTTGCCCGTGGTGCCAACAACCTCATTCTGGATGAAGCAGAGCGCTCGCTACATGACGCTCTCTGTGCGATCCGGTGTCTGGTTAAGAAGCGGGCTCTGATTGCTGGTGGTGGTGCACCTGAAATCGAAGTTTCACATGCGCTCAGCACCCGTGCACGAGAGCTCACAGGAACTGAGGCGATCTGCTGGAAAGCGTTCGCGGAGGCGATGGAGGTGATTCCTACTACTCTTGCCGAAAATGCGGGTTTGAACTCGATCAAAGTCGTCACGGATCTGCGTCACCGACACGCCCAGGGCCTGCACAATGCCGGTGTCAGCATCCGCAGCGGTGGTGTCAAGGACAACATTACGGAAGAGAATGTGTTGCAGCCGCTGTTGGTGAGCACTAGTGCGATTGAGCTTGCCGCGGAAACCGTGAAGATGATCCTCAGGATTGATGATATCGCGTTGTCGAGATGATGAGAAGCAAGCAAATAAAAAGGAAAAGTTTCGACATGACATTAGTTAGGAATGGCGTACGATGATGAAAATGGAGACTTAGAATTCAAGAGGAGTAGTAGGTATGCCAACTTTAACTGTAGAAATATAATACTTGCATTTGAATACACAATTGTTTCACAAAGAAGAAAAAAATAACTGTAGAAGATAAAGCACCATATGTAATGGCAAGTTGATAATTTCTGCAGGTACCGCTGCTTTTTACTCAGTTTCAATCTTTCTTTTCGCCAAATACCGCAACTATGACTCTGATAACATGCTACATTCCATGTTTAATTTCTTCAAAAAGAAGCTATCATATTGTTTGTTACTAAGCCTCCTTATACAAGGATGGCACAAGGTATATAGGTTGATGAGTCTGCAATCGGCCCGCCTGCTGACAGATTGGACTATAATTGAGTGCAACAACATGAGGAAACGCAACAAGCCATGTAATATACAACAAGTCCTTCATCTCCAGCTTCTATTCCAGCTCATACTATTGATTAAAGTTATTATATTCCCGACAAGAACGAATTCTTTTCTGGTTCTAGGTCGCACAGCAACTGAGCTGCTTCACATTCTTTGCAAAGCCCAGCGCAGCCAATTTCCAAGCCTCGTTCCACGTAAGGTATGGATGGAACATCGTCGCCACATCTCGCGCTTTGATCTTATAGCGAACGCAAAGAGATGCTTCCATGATGAGTTCCCCGCCTTCTTCGGCGAGGACTCGTGCCCCGATTATGGTGTCATCTTGTTTATTCCGGATCAGGGTCACGAAGCCGCGCGTGTCCTGTTGCACGAGAGCACGGGGGAGAAGAGAAAGGGGGATGGTCGAAGCTTCTGCGTCAATCCCTCTGGCACGAGCTGCGGCAACATCTAGACCAACGCCAGCAACGGCGGGAGACGAAAATACGACCCATGGAACGACGGAATAATCCATCTGCTCCTCCTCTCGGCCATGAAAGGAGGCCAGCGCGTTGAGGGCTGCAAGCTTACCTTCAGCAGCCGCAGTGTAGACATACTGTGGTGAATTGGCAACACAGTCGCCTGCTGCATACACGCCGGTAATAGATGTCTGTAGTGTATTCGACACGACGAACCCACCATGCGGTGAATCTGAGAGATGGATCGGGATCTCCGACACATCGGTAGTATTGGCGCTGCGGCCAGTGGCGACAAAGATCTTCGAGGCAGTGAAAGCTCGAATTTCATCACGGTGCTTCGCAGTTACCGTGATTCTGCGGTCATCGGAAGCCGCAACCGACAAGATTTCCACTCCCACTACCACCTCTATCCCTTCTTCTTCCAGATAGCCAGCCAGAGCTGTACCGATGTCTTCGCTGATGTCAGACAGGATGTGTGATGATCGCTGCAGCAGTGTCACCCGTGAGCCCAGTCGGGCGAACATCTGGGCGGCTTCCACCGCAACATAGCCCCCACCAAGGACGATGAGGGACTCGGGACGGACCGTTTCGAAGTAAGCTGTCTCGTTAGTGAGATAAGGGAGTTTGCCCAGGTCCTGGCGTAAGTGCTCTGGAAGACTATTGTGCACGCCTGTAGCAAGAATCACTCGATCTGCCGGTAGTTCTCGGTACGGCGTCTCATCTGCAGGATTGTGACGGACAGCGACTGCAAAATGTCCTTCTCTCTTGACAAGTCTGCCGAAGCCCTTGACATACTCCACGTTATCAAATCCAGCGATAACTCCTGCATACTTTTCTTCACGGAGGCTCTCGACAAGCGCACAGTTTTGTTTCGTCAAAGCGGCAAAGTCAGTGACTCGGTCCGAGACGTTAGAAAACCCGTGATATGGAGGGCTCCGGTTGAGAGGACTGTTTACATGGGAGGCTTGGATGAGGAACTTGGAAGGGACTGCGACACAGCATGCCGGCTCAGCAAAATCCGGATCCACGTGTAGTAGCCACCTTGCAGGTATCACAAACCGCAGCCGACGTTCACACAGCAGCCACCCATAGGTAAACCCTCATTTACTATTTTAACAGACAGTGCAAGCGGTGCAGCGGCTGCAGCAGCCGCAAAGGCGGCAGATCCACCTCCTAGTGGACGTATGTTAGATGGCTAGACAAGAAGATTGCAGGGAGAGACGAACCGATAATTACTATCCGGCAGCTCCGCGTATCCTGCTTCTTGCTACAGCATGATGCTGTACCTGACTCAGCAGTACATGTAGCCATTGCCGCACAGAATGACCCCAGAGACTCAGACACAAGATTTTCCAAGCTTAAACGGTTGTTGCGAATGACTTTGGCACAAACAACACAGGGTTAAAGAACCCTACATAGTCGACGAATGTGAATTCCAACGTCTCTCCGGCGATCATTGGATACTGGGATAGGCGGGGAATGCTTGTGCTAGCCACGTGATGAGGTCCGCGAAGGTCATTGCCCAGAGATTCCTTGCTTGCTGGATCGGCAAATATCTGCTTCAGATAGCAAGTCTTCTCAGCAGATGCCTCTGCCGCTGGGTCCCGAGGAGTCAACTCTCGACGGAGTTGTCTTATTGTGCATGTTTCGCATCAACAGCAGAAGGAGGTCGCCCTGACCTCAAGATTGAACATACTCCGGGATATACCTGAACAACTGAAGATTTCATGCACTCTAGGACTCGAGTTCATGCACAATTCCTATTGGTTGGCTAATTTCGATCAAACAAGCGGAGATTTGTTGCAGGTAATAGATATTGGTATAGCAACCAGCATGCTACCATTGGAAAGGTTTTCAATCGGTCAGTGCCATAAGGTGTACACGCATTGGCATGCTCCAGATCTTACTGCCCTTCATGACCAGAAGACAGGTGAAGCTCATCAGAGGCATGCCGGCAAGCCCGTGAGGATCCGTCGGCAGCTCCACGTCGGTGGATCATGATCGAAGGCAGAATTGTCAGCCAGGCTGACTCTTGTAATGTTTCTCATGACTGCGAATGCCCATCAGTTTGTCATTTGGCTAAACATCTTATCTGTGATAACAAAACGCGATTTAGAAACACAAGGGCAAATCCCAATAGTAAGTATGCCATGCCTTCTCGACAGTTAAGCGCGGAATATTTCTCCGCAATGGGCGGAGCTATACCTAAACTGGCTGTTACAGCTGCCCCCACCCGAGGCATCCCCATAACAGCTTACTGCGCCAGATTCACCAAGCAGCACCTTCAGCTCAGAGCCTCGCTTGGGGATAATCCCAGGTGTTGGAGCTCTGATCAGCTCCCGTGAGCCTTGTGTTGCTAACAAAGAAGGCTTCCATGTGCGGTCCGGCTAATTGGTTTTCTTTGTTTGGGTGAGGCTAGGTTGTCCAGACGTCGGGGGTGTACTCTTTCTCCGCCTACTCCAAACAGATCTCATGTTGCACACATCCTGCCTGGATGAGAGGAGCCGAGTCTCCTTGATCTCGTGAACACCCTTTTGGGTACCCGATTTGCAAAGATGGCTCCAAAAAAGAATGGAAATATCGGCGAGGAATCCGTTCCACTCGCGAGTCGGCCCTCTGCATCCTCGATCTCCCGGAGCTCGACAGATTCACTTTCTTCAGACGGGTCTCTTCTTGCCGACGTTCCGAATACCTTTTTACAGCAAAAGTCGAGGCGAATGGCAGAGGATGGTCCTTATCGTGATCTCGAAGACGCGGAGTTTGACCCTGCTGATGGTCTCTTGCGAGGAACGAACAGGAAGGCGAAGAGCGGGAGGACACGTCGCATTTTATGGATACTAGGATTATTGTGTATAGGCGGCTGGCTGCTTGCCTTTTTCCTGTTTCTGGGACAACGAAAGTCGGGTGATGCCGCTACCGCATCGACCCCGGCGATCCATGAACCCGACTCGGCTACAGGCACCACAAGCTACGGAAAACCCATCACCCTTGACCAGGTTCTGAATGGCAAGTGGTACGCCAAGTCTCACTCTATTTCCTGGATTGCTGGTCCAAATGGCGAAGACGGACTGCTGCTCGAACAAAATGAGGGCAGTCGGAAGGGATACCTTGTGGTTGACGACATCCGCAGCCGAGGGGGAGGGACTGAGCATGCCGAGAGTCGAGTCTTGATAAAGTCATCTACAATGTTCCATGAGAGCGAGCTCATCGTGCCAAAGAATGTTTGGCCGAGCCCGGATTTCAAAACCGTGCTCATTCTGTCTGATTACGAAAAGAATTGGCGACACTCATTCAGTGGGAGATACTGGCTCTTTGACGTTGCAACGCAATCGCTCAAGCCTCTAGACCCAGATGATCCTGATGGACGAATTCAGCTGGCGTCCTGGTCGCCTAAGTCTGATGCGGTAGTCTTCACCAGGAAGAATAACATGTATCTACGAAAATTATCATCCGACAAAGTGATCCAGATCACAAAGGACGGAGGAAAGGAAGTCTTCTACGGTGTCCCCGATTGGGTTTACGAGGAAGAGGTCTTTGGGGGCAATAGCGCGACATGGTGGTCGGGTGATGGCAAGTATGTTGCCTTCTTGCGCACAGATGAGTCTATGGTTCCAGAGTATCCGCTGCAATATTTCCTGTCCAGACCATCCGGAACGGAACCGCCGCCGGGCTTGGAGGTCTATCCAGATGTTAGACGACTCAAATATCCCAAAGCGGGAGCTCCAAACCCGGTCGTGAATTTGCAATTCTACGATGTCGACAACAATGACGTATTTTCGATTGACGTCCCGCAAGACTTTGCGGACGACGATCGACTCATCATTGAGGTCCTTTGGGCATCCAATGGGAAAGTGCTTGTGAGGGAAACTAACAGAGAGAGCGATGTCTTGCGAGTCGTTCTCATGGACGTGAAGACGAGGAGTGGCAGGGTCGTCAGATCCGAGGATATCGCGAGTCTCGATGGCGGGTGGGTTGAGCCATCTCAGTCCACAAGATTTGTTCCTGCCGATCCAGCGAACGGACGTCCGGACGACGGCTATATCGATACCGTGATCCACGACGGATACGACCATCTGGCGTATTTTACGCCCCTGGATAGCAGCAAACCCATTTTCCTCACATCAGGTGAATGGGAAGTGGTGGATGCGCCGTCGGCTGTTGACCTCAAAAGAGGCATAGTCTACTTTGTGGCTACGAAAGAATCGCCGACCCAGCGTCACGTCTACAGCGTCAAGCTGGATGGGTCTGATCTCAAGCCAGTGACGAACACGTCGAAGATTGGCTACTATGATGTTTCGTTCTCCCACGGAGCTGGGTATGCGTTGCTCAGCTATCAGGGTCCCTCGATCCCTTGGCAAAAGGTTATCAGCACGCCAAGCAATGTTGAAAACGTTTACGAGCAAGTGATCGAGGAAAACAAGGAACTCGCCAAAATGGTCGAGGAGTTTGCTCTTCCGGCGGAGATATATCAGAATATCACGATCGATGGTTACACGTTGCAGGTTGTTGAGCGCCGGCCGCCGCATTTCAGTCCTGTAAAGAAATATCCGGTCCTTTTCCACCTCTATGGTGGGCCGGGCTCGCAAACAGTGAATCGCAAGTTCACTGTCGACTTCCAGTCCTATGTTGCGTCGAACTTGGGCTACATCGTGGTCACAGTGGATGGCAGGGGAACAGGCTATATCGGGCGCAAGGCGCGATGCGTTGTGCGTGGCAACCTTGGCTACTGGGAAGCCCATGACCAGATTGAGACGGCCAAAATTTGGGCAAAGAAGCCGTATGTGGATGAGAGTCGAATGGCGATTTGGGGCTGGAGCTATGGCGGGTTCATGACGCTCAAGACCCTTGAGCAGGATGCTGGCCAGACGTTCCAATACGGCATGGCTGTGGCACCTGTGACTGACTGGCGGTTTTACGGTAGGTTATCCTGTCAAAGTGGTTGAAAAGGAGTTGACATATGCTAATCAATGAGGAAGACTCTATCTATACCGAGCGGTATATGCACACACCACAGCATAACCCGTCTGGGTATGCCAACGCGACGATTTCCAACATGACGGCGCTTCAGCAGAACGTGCGCTTTCTTTTCATGCACGGCGTTGCGGACGACAACGTGCATTTTCAGAACTCGCTCGCGCTGATCGACAAGCTCGATGAGGCGAATGTCGAGAACTACGATGTGCATGTCTTTCCGGACTCGGATCATAGCATTTACTTTCACAATGCGCACAAGATGGTTTACGACCGTAAGTGGCTTGTATATGAGCTTTCGAGTCGGGCCGAACTGACTTGTGCAGGTCTTTCCAACTGGCTGGTCAACGCCTTCAACGGCGAATGGCACCGGACCGGGAATCCAGTGCCGGAGACGAGCGCACGCCGACGTTTGCGGCGGTTTCTATCGATGTTCAAATAGATCTATCCGCCTGGTGTCAATGTGACGCAGATGACACAGATTCTTGCATCTATAATTTTGTTGTTTTGTATACCCTATTCCATTTGACTGACGTTTACTGTCGTTATCGTACTGTTGTCGCACTATCATTGCACTATCATTGGCTGGACTCAAGCCAGGAGTTGGTGGAGATCTGTCTTTCTGAGATTTAGTTGAGTTAGTGTCTATTCCGTAAGTAGGCGAACTCCTAAGCAGGGAAGCTAGACTTTCTTTTCGTCAAACGTCCTAGATAATTATAATTTACTCGATTAGATGGGTGCGTGGATAGATACTTAGGTAGGTAAGGACAGGCATGACTGAAATAGTAAGTATATGACAAAGCAGCATGGGATGGGATGGACGGGATGGATGGAATTTGATAAATTTATCTATCTGCCTTTTTCTCCTTCATTTCTTTTCCTACCCTTTCTTGCTTGCTAATGCACCTTGACATCGACGACAACCGTTAAAAAATCCCAATCAATTACTCAAAACCAGACCAGACAACCAAGCCTGGTGATATCTTTTCCGTTCCATTTCCATTCATTTCCATTTCCCTGTCTTACGCCTGCAATCGATATTCGTGCCACTCACTCATTCACTCATCATGCCGCAGAACATTTAAAATAAATATAAATCAACATAAACCCATCTTGGCAATTTGGTCATGCCTCCTCCTTCTCGCTCCGACCCTTGACATACCGGCTCAGATCACCGACAGGCAGCGTATACGGAAAGTCGACGCTGGCGAGCATCTGGACGAAGAAGAGGTACCAGCCAGCGAGACAGGCGACGAAGAAGGAGGCGCCGCCGGCCTGGAATGATTACTGTCAGTAAACTTTTTACTATATATATGTACAGGGTACGCACAATTTGCAAATTGTCAGCCAGCGTCGAGTTGAGAGCCGCCAGCTGCCAGTACGAGCCCGCCAGAAGACAGAAGCCCAGCGTGAGGGTCAGGAAGATGATCTCGAAGACGACGTTGGTGCGGATGCCGCAGATGAGGTAGATGAGGCAGAGGAGGCCCATGAAGACGTAGATAAAGGCTGGACGTGAGACTCTGTTAGTGGAAAGATTCCCTCCCTGTCTTGATTGATTGTTGATCACTCACCGAAAGAAGTGTGAAAGCCTGGATTGGCCGGGTTCGACGGGTCGTATGCACCGGCAGCGTTGTAGAAGGGCGTCATCGTGATGCCCGTTGCGAGCCAGAAGGCGCCTGTCGTATCAGTCAGTAAGATCACACTAGTATATATAGGTGTATAGGAGGCAAACCAAAAGACAAAAACACAACGAAAGAGAAGGTGTTTCCAAGGATAAACTCCAGGATCCCAGCGATGGGCATGAGAACGCCGCCAATGCCGTAGAAGGCGCCACTATGGAACAATTAGCTGTCTGCAAGCTAGTTGAAGCTGAATATGAAGATGAAGCTGGATAAACACTCACATCAAAGCAGCACCTCCGCCGCCACCGCCTCGCCATCCCATCAGGTCACAGCTAAGGGGAGTCAAACTGATGATGAAACCGAAGACACCTCTGACGTTCGTTAGACAAAAAAAAAATATCAAAAATAGACGAGTTAAAGAAGCAATGCTTACAAAGGCGTAGGGTTTCCAACGATGGACCGCAGATCGCCATGCACACGACTCTTGGGCGAGAGATAGATCTTCTCAAAGAGTTCCGGCGAGATGGACAGGCTGCCGGCCGTCTTGATCTTGCGGATGGCGTCTTCGCGACTCTCCTCCGCCTTTAGGTCGTAGCGGGTGCCGTTGCTGTTACTGTTGCTGTCCATTGTGGTGATTGGTTCTGACATAGATCCGGTTGATTGGGAAGACTGTTTAGAAATGAAGGAGAATAGGGTAGGTATGTATGTATGTACAGGCCTAGGTCAAGGTCTGGAACTAGGACAGCAGCTCTGCAACTAAGGAGCAATTTCTAGCAAAAGGCCTGGAGAAAGCACTGCTCTATATAAAAACCCGACCTAGCATACCCCAGGTATGTATGTACTGTACCTAGGTTCTAAGTAAGTAGGTAAGTACTATTGAAAGTTTGAGCCGGCTCCAAACTTGATGCCATGACTCGCGGCAGATCGATTCGGCAAGTTGTTTCACGCAGAGGTGGTACTAGTAGTTACATCCGTACTGGTAAAGGGAGCTAGGGAACTGAATCTCGCCTAAGTCAAATCTGGTACATACGTAGGAAAGGAACCTTACCTAGGAGTTTCATCTTGTCCGTTACGGAGTACAAGACACGGGATGTTGCTTCCGTGGTTGCAATTGGTTTGTTGTACAGATCCAATCAATCAATGAATTAATTAATCGATCAATTGCTTTCAGCGAGGGTCCATGCGAGGATCCATTCATTCTCATTGTGGCTTTTACCTAGTTTCCCCGATCTATTATCTACAGGGAAATGGAAATGGAGCCTAGTTGAATGGCCACAGTGCAATGCAGTCCAGTCCATGGACTGACATCTGCAATGCAGAGCTTACATTACACTGGTGACGTGTGAAGGAAAGGAAGGAAAGGAAAAGAAAAGAAAGGAAAAGAAAGGAAAGGATCTCCGCATTTACTCATTCATTCATTCATTCCAACCCCGCAATTTCCATCATCCAGTAGTAATGTACAGTACATAATAGAAAGATGGAGGAATAATTCGTCAAGACTGACAGACAGGCAGGCAGGCCCTTCCTCCTTGTTCTCCTTTAGCCCGCGTCGTACATACCAAGACATACGTAATATATGCACAGGCCCATACCCAATGAATACGTAGTTTTCCTTCGAAAATCACTTTCGTTGGATGAATGATGCATGGATGTAGATGACAACGCTGAGCTTCTTGCTGGCTAACTACCTAGGTAGCTAATTAGCCAGCTAATAGCTAGCGAGTGGCTAGAGTGGAGAAAGCTGTTTTAGCGGGGAAGTTAAAACAAAAGAAAAGCTGAAAATGCGAAGAACGGACGGACGATCAGGACGTGCATACGCTAACTCGCTAAGTTGGCAGATCCGTGCTCTGTGCTCAGGCTCCATGCTCTATGCTCCGTATCCCCCAGCCTGGAGGCGGAGATCAGCTAATTTCCCCAGAATTACCGTACCGTCAATCTACTCTGGACGGATGACTGAAGGCATCTGTGCAGAGGGATAAATTAGCTAAGTTAGTTGTCGATGGGGCTCTTGGAAACTCAGCCAGCGATCTGAATTAATATGCAATACGAGGGATGGCATCATGGCAGGCACCCCGGACAAACGGAGGTGAGGATGTGCATGGCATATCATGCTATGTATGGTATGGCATAGCACAAGCGAAGACATAGGCCAGTCAGTGCTCTGTCAGCCAGGCGATCAATGCAGATCTCTCGACCAATCGCTGTCAAGACAGCAACTGTTGCAGTTGGTTGTTCTGCAGATCGCGACGTATATGTACAGTACAGACTTACGAAGTCAACCAGAATACACATATTCATTCGAATGACGCATAGACTGCACTCTCAGAATTCCTATTTCAATGAAATAAGATTTTCTTTTTCGACCGGATTAAAAGTCATGAAAACGTGGAACAGACTACCAGAAAAAGATGGAAGTCTGGTGGATCGCCCTCCCGATTTCCCCGGGATTTCTCCCCGCGGGGTAAAAATGCGGGGAAGATGGGCGGGTCAGTGAGTACCCCGGAGAAGATAGAACTCTGTGGAATGAGTGAATGGTATTATTGATTTATACGTATGCACATTAATTTCATTCATATTGCATAGTATTCCATAATGCAGACTGACAACTAACTTCGAGTAGTACCCAACTCTATATATGCATCCCTATATACATACATACAGTAATGACAGATGCAAACGAAAAAGAAAACTATGTACTGTGCGAACAATGAACATATACCATATATACTGATGTCATGCCCCCTGCTTCTCCGCCATAATACTCTTGTAGGCATTCGAATTCAAAAACTCATCCCGCGTAATCGAGCTGACGTCCGAATTGCGGTACTGCCGCAGCTCCTCCCGACGCAGACCCCGCAGCAGCGCCTCGCCCGTCGGCGACGATGACCGCCCCCCAGAGAGCAGATTGCCGCTGTGCCGCGGCGCGAACACGGGGAAATAGGACTTGCGTGACGACCCATGCACGCCCGACTCCATCGACAGCCGGCTCTGCTCCGAGATGGACCGCCCAAACTTGCCCCCGTACACCATCTCGGCTCGGGAGCTCGTCGAGATGAACGACGACGCCGCAGATGACGTCGACGACCGCCACGACGCCACCGCGCTGTGTGGAATCGTGACCATCTCGTCTTCGATTGGCGTCGCCGCCCGCAGGTCGCTTGGCGTCTCCAGAGGTTCCAGCAGGTCGCCCGCGCCTCGGCTGCCGAACGTCTTGAGGCTCTTGCCCACCCAGAGCATCTGCTCGTGCTCCCGCAAGTAGCGATCCCCGCTGAACGACTTCTGCACAATCTTCCGCGTCATCATGCCCAGCTTCCTGCGGTGCTCACTCTTCTCATACATGCGCCGAGTGATCGCGGCCACTTCATCCGGGGTAGGCGACGACGACAGAACTGGCGGCGGCTCCGTATCCTCGGCGTGGTTGCTCCACTCTCCCAACATGGCCAGCATCTGGATCTGTGCCCGTGCAAGCGCTTGAGCGTCATTCGGGGCGACGACCGCACTGAACCGTGAAAAGTCGTCTGGGTCGCTGAGAACCCGCAGCGATGCCCCGACATCAGTACAGACAACAGGCGCCCCCGTCAAGGCAGCTTCGCCAAGTGCCAGCGGCAGACCTTCCGACAGAGACGAGTTGAGGAACAACCAGGTGTTTTCGAGCACCTTCATCGGATCAGCCGTTCCGCGGAGCGTGACTTTTCCGCGAAGACCTTTGGAGGCAATGAGCTCCTGACACTCCGTCGAGTATGTCGGCGCCTTGTCGATGGCTCCGTAGATGTCGAGGTGGTAGTCGTCGAATCCCCACTGGTTGATGATCAAGTCGGCCGCCAGGATGGCGATCTTGATGTCCTTCGCGTACCACACGTGCGACAACATGGTCACCGTAGGACGCTGCGACTTGATCTCCTTGACGGGGGCAAACTTTTGCATGTCGGTAATGCCGTTGACGACGGGATCCACCTTCCTGCGGAAGCTGTTGCGATGCTCCAGGTTTCCTTGGCACGTTCCAATCTCGATCTCCCAGCCGGGATTGAAGAAGTCCGCGCAAGGCGAGACAATGTCCGCGTGGTGCAAGATCAGCACCGAGGTCATCCTCATCAGACCCAGAAGAGCGTTCCGCACGAACGGTGGAAGCTTGCAGAGAGCCGAAGACAGGCAGAGGTTGGTCTCGCGCCAGCTGATCGCGTGGTCCCAGATTTGGAGCGTGCAGCCGCGTTTGATCTTGCACACGACTCCGTACGACGCACTGACGCTGTGATGCGAGGCCTGGAAGACGGAAGGAATCTTCTCCGGAACCGGAATGGAGAAGATGAACAGGTATCGGAACCACAGCTCCAACGCGGTGTCCAGGTGGCCCAACGTGGGCAGTTCCGTTTCAAACCACTGCGACGACGGCACTGCGTTGGGCATCTCCTGCGTCAGCCAGAGCTCACGCCAGCTCTCCTTGACGATCTCGCTGGTCCACACTTGACCCCAGTGTCTGAAGCTATCGAAGTAGGTGTTGAGATTGACCAGTGCTCTCGTCGCCTGCTGAATGTCGGCATTGGAAAGATGGACGGCGCGCGCAGCTTTCACCAACGCAGTCAGGATGGGGATAAAGTTCAGTTTGATATCCAGCTCCGTGGCAGCCGTGGCCGAGTCTTCCACCTCAGCATCCAGCTTGTTCTTGAACAGACCGTGGGTTGGCGTCAAGAAATCCAGCCCCCAAAGCGGAATCACTTTCAGCGACTGGACATTCTGCTCGGTCTGATGCTTTGGAACGCCAAAGTCATGAGCGGACTCGCAGATCATGTGCCATTTGATGGTGCGCAGCGAGTTGATCATATCGCGACGGCAAGCAGAGACACCACCTCCTTCGTTCGGCCAGGTTCCCATGTCCGCAGCCAGCACGTGGAGGCTGTCGTCGGAATCAAAGACAAATTCCTTGGACCGTGTAAAGAGAACGGCATCGCCACCGGGGCCAAAGTTGAACAGATCGCCCATCTTGACAGCCAATGGAGTCCAGCTGGAGATGGTGTCATCCAGATCCGCACTGGCCATAATGGCATCGGCGCGCAGGTCGAGATATTTCTTCGCTGAAGCAAGGTCCCCACGATCCCGACTGCGCCAGTACGGAGCAAGCACTTTGTCTCGCCGCAGCAGCCTCTCGTCCATCCACCGGACAATCACCCCGTCAAAGTCCACCCGTTCTTTCCAGGCCTTCCAAATCAGCGAGCGAGCGCGCGACGTAGACACCGGGAATCGCTTCTTTGTGAGACCTAGGAAGCGTGTGACCGGGTTCGTCTTCAGGCTATCACAGAAGAACAACGGGTTGTCGTGCAAGAAGCTGGTGTGTTTGGGCTTCGTCAGCACGCCGAGATGATCGTTCTCGATCATAGGCGGAGTCTGCACTTTCTGTCCATTGAGGAACGTGAAGATGGTCGGGTGGAACTTGTGGTCGTAGAGCCAGCGACTTTCGTAGACGTCGGGACCATGCACGAACGTAGCCTCCGTGATCTTCGAATGAGGAATCCAGCGCTCGATCTTCTCCGGATGACGGCGTGGAGGGGCGCACCAGGACACCGTACAGCTCATGTACTCCAGGACAAACTCTGCACGAAGTAGCTCATCGCCAAACCGGGGGTTCTTGCGATAGTGATATTTGAAGCGGACCAGATTCCCATCCTTGATGTAGGAACCGGCTTCGATCAAGCCCTTGCGGTTGTACTGAATACTCTGAAGGTGATTCTTGCCGCGCACACACCGTCGTCCCAATGGCAGTCTCGGGTTGACTCCTTTGGACAACCTGAAGCCTCTCTTGGCGGGATGCCGATAATCGTAGTGATACTCGTTGACCAGCTCCCCTTTCTCGAATTCTTCCCTGACTTGGAGAAGCATGTCCCGGGTATAGGTATTGACATATTTAAGCGATTTGACGTCCTTTGGCTCCGACTTGTGCTCACCTTGGTAAATGTACATCTTGAAGCTTCCGTCGGGCCCATCGTGTCTGAATGCCGTAAACGTACCATCGAGGCCTTGCATAATCACTCGATCCCGCTTCAGATTGATCGTCATGCCCTTAGTCTCGTGCCACAGACGCTCCACATTGTCACGCCCATGGAACAAGAAGAACATCAAAGCCACGTTTTGTATCTCTTTGGCGTACATCCATACCATATTCAGGAGGAAGGTCAAGGGCACGCGAACGAACTTAGACCGACTCTTCATAACGTGGTCAAATTCCCTTTGGAACTCGGGGTCGGCAACCATGGCAATGACGATATATTTGATCACGGTTGCGATTTTATGCCAGCCGTTGATGAACGCTCTCTTATACCACGGGAGCTTCTCCGGAACATGAGTGATGTACCCTGTGGTATTGGTATTCTTCGGAGCGGGAAGCTTTTCGGTATCCAGATTGGCATAGTCCAGGACGGTGACCGCAATAGCACAGCCGAGGTTGCATCGCGCAATATGGACGTTGAGATCATCTGTGTCAAACTTGCAAAGGCTCTGCTGCAGCCACTGCCACTGTCTTTCGGTTATCCGGCAGGTCTTCCCAAGGCAGCGGTTCAATAGTGACACCCGAATCTCGCTGGGCAGCTTGTCCCAGTTCACATCGCACTGGAACCCCAGACACAACTGCCTGATGAGCTCGTTGTT